TGTTTGGTATCTGTACAATTTTGAACGATAAAATCGCAAAAAACCAAAAAATAAACCTAGCGATTTTCATAAAATACGCATGCAATGTTATATATTTTTCCCGATTAGGATACATGGAGAATATAAACTTAACGAAAAACCAATCGAATGGACAGTGGTGTATCCAGAAATTGTCAACGAGAAGGTATGTAGCAAATAATAATCGTGAATGAATTAGTAATTTAAAAGCTAGATCCTATAAAAAAAAACCAATTTCTAATTAATACATCAAGCTTTTTCTCGTAACTTGGCTGAAATATATACATTTATAGGTATTGAATTACTCATGTTTGTTTTATATTTTTGAGCCAATGGCGGAGGGGGCGTTATATCCCCAAACTTCCCCTACTGTGTACGCCACTTCGTAATAGATCATTTGTTTAGGAAATAATCAATATACAATATTCTATGGATCTTATGTTTTTGTAATTTTACAATTTAAGGAAAGCTCATATTTTTTAGTACTATGTATATCGTATAGCCAGGGCAGGTCAAATGGGTTCAAACCGCTCTCAAATTTGAACAAAAAAACACGTCATATACTAATTTCTAGATACTTGATTTATATGCTCTAAAAATCTACAAAACATAATCAAAATCTTGAAAACATAAAAAAAGGCCTTGGAATAAGCACTTAGAAATATGTAAAAAATAATAGATAAGTTTAAAAGTCTAACGGATTTAGCAAATAAATACAATTTTCTAAAATAAAAAAAAAAATAAAAGATTAACAAAAAGTATATATTTTGTGTGAATCATTTTTGTAGTGTTAAAAAATGTATTAATTATTAAGTTAGAACCGTTAGTGGAGCGATTTTTAAACTCGTCCATCACTTTTTGCTTTCTAAATGCTTATAACTGTTTTTTCGATGATTTCTCGACGTTTTCCAACGTCTTTCTGTAAATCAGGCCTTTATTAATTCCCGTGTAATTCAAAATGTTTAAATTTTTTACTTATGGATCTCCCCCGAATCCGCTCTGAAATTTTGTCTGTATACGTGCCTGACTATAATAATAATATTTCGATAGCCGTTAGATATAAATATCGGATGTAGAACTACAAGAACTGTTTACAACTAAAAGTCGAGAATATACAACAATAAACGTCAAGTAGATATAGGTGTATTTTATTATGATGCGTGTTTCGTGAATAAACTGGGTCCGTTTCGCTCAATAATCAATATGGGCTTAATAATGATGATATAATGTATCGATATTGAAGAAAGCTCGTTCTATTTTTAGTATTTAATGCGTACAATTATAAGTGCGTACACATCACGCCGCTTGTATATTACAGAAGCTGATGTGACGCATGAAAATATAACATGACGTAAACATATATTGTACAGGGTAAACATGTGTTTTACTAGGCGCGATAGAAATATTTTCGAGAGTTCCGTTTTGCGTGTGTACGCTCATTGTCCGTTCCCAGTGACGTAGTTATGATTTTGTTTTATGGGGGGGGGGAGGGAGATAGATAATTTGTTATGGAGTCCTAGCACTTTTAAGTTGTTACCATCATCGTTAACCACACCGTAAATCCTCCCTTCCCCTCTCATTATTAAGCGTTTACACCGATGTCCGTTGTCCGATAAAATTGTTAAAATACGATAACTATTGTGAACCTACTTAATTTTAAATACTTATATATTATACGTTTTCCGGACGACATGACGACATCGAGGTTTTGGATTCTGAGTGAATCGAGGAATCTAGTATTGATTTTACAATGATGATTTTTTTTTTTTTTACACTATGTACAAAAACTCTACCGGAAATCTGGCTCCGATTTTCAATTATAGCACTTCTTCTGAAAGGAAATCTGACTTGAGTGTCAGTATAATTTAAGGAAGTTGTAATTCAGTTTAAAATGTTCGTGGAAACTTGTAATGCATACAAAAACCTTATATTTGCTTTCATAAACGTGGTAAAAATTTCAAAACATTTGAGCCATTTGTTGTGAGCTATTTATAGACATTTTAATTTTGCTAGTTGTTTTACATAATATTTATTCAGTAGGTACTCTGGGGATAAAATTGTTAGACCAAATAAAAATACTCAAAAAATGAACAGGAATTTCATTATAAAGTTGAGTTTAATGTATAGTTTTTTTTTTTCTTTATAAGAATTTTAGAATATCAAATTTTAACGAAAACCGTAAATATATTACGGCCTTTTTAAACACGTATAACCGAGTAACACGTAACTCCGCTCAGAATTGTTCTTCGTTAGCAATGATCAATCTTTGCATACAAAAAATATATTAAATTCCCTTCTAAATTCTACTTTTCCAACTTCTCGTCTACAACAGTAGCTCGCCCACCGTCCGCTTTTTTTTTTACCACGATAAATGTGTTTGCATATTATTTCAAAGTACCACAGCTTAATCTGATAAACACACAATTCGACTTCAAGTCGTTTATAATAACACAACAATTCGTCGCCAAGATCGATATATGATGTACGATATACCTATATTCGTATATACCATATACGTATTATATCATATAGCGCGTACACCACAGCGTCTAAGTGCATTATATGATAAAAGTGGGTGTAAAGAAAGACATAAAAAAAAAAAAAAAAAAAATACTCCGGGCACTAAGTGCCGTATAGTAGTAAAGTTTTCGACGAATTATCGGAGTCGCATTAACCGTATAGCATTTAAGTAGGTCAATGGTATAGTAATAGTGCGGCGTGGCGTGACGGACGATTTTGTCGTCATAGTTGATTTTTGCACCCCGAATTTATAGGTTTTAGGGTTAAAATTCAGTCGTAACACTGCGAAATATAGAAACGCGCGTATACGGATTGTAATATATTATGGTCGAACAACGAAAAACGTCACCCTTTGTGCAATTTACATGGGGGGAAAAAATCGGAACACATTTTATATAAACCGATTGGACTTATCGATTGCTGCAAGTCAAAGCTCTTCTCGGAATAAATAAAAAAAAAAAAAAAACAACACGGGTCGACAGAGAGAATACGTCGATTCGTTATTATTAAGTATTCGAAAAATGTACCGAGACGTATTTACTCGGAATTAAAATAACTTAAACGCTCATTTACTTTAATTTATTTTACCCGTTGCATATTTTCTTTCTATCGTTTTTCCGCAACAATACAGATACATATAACTAATAATATTACAAAATATTATGAACATTCTTCATTGCTCACAATTTTTTATTATTGTTATTATTACTAAATTATTTTTTATCATTATTATTTTTTTTTTAAGAGAGTGATGCGTTTTTGTTATTCAAATAAGTACCTACCTACCATAATTAATTAAAAATAATAATTCAAATATTTTTTTGTTAACGTTTATAGAATATGAATGAAGTCTTTTTTACAGTGTACGGACCAGCGGCGGATTAAGTAATTTGCCATTTAAAATTAAAAGGAAACTTGCCTTTATTATCATATGGCTTTTTTTTTTTTGAAACCAAAAAAAAAAAAGAGAAATATTATATTTTTAATTAAATCATTATTTATTATTTAAAAGTATATGAAAAGTAACTATGTTGTTTTAATATTGTATTACCTACTTTAAAAAAAATATCAAATTTGCACTCGAGAAACATTTCAATAAACACGGAGTAAACCGATTCAATAAATTTCATTGATAAGATGAACTTGTTAGTATGATTCGAATTGTAGCGGACCTACTAATTTGTTGATAATTTAAAGCAGGTACCATTTTGCCTGTGTTCTCTCGGGAATTTTTTATATATATATAATAAAAGTTAGATTTAAACGCTTTAGAGCGTTTTATATCGATTTTAAAAAAAGTATAGAAAATCATCGACATAAGACGTCAAAAAAAAAAAAATTCGAGAAAAAATGTTAATCAAATTTTTTCTTATTTTTTTGTGATTAGCAAATTTAACACCTTTAAAATGTTATCGTTCCAATGACCTATTTGTTTTGCTCAGGGGCGGATTTGAATGAACGAGGGGTAATGGAGAAATTAATAGATATGGTAAAGCTGTCCTTGACTTATTAGACTTCTAACTGTTCCAAGATTGATTTATGAAGTAAAGCACATATTTCTCTTATTTAGGTTTTTATCTCTGGTGATAACTGATAAATCTAAATAAATAAACGTGTTATTGTGAAAACTGCTTATAAAACAATATAACATCTTCAAATGACCAACATGATTCAAAATCCCATAATAAAGCTCAATTATTGTCGTTTTCTGATTAGTGCAAGGTTTCTGGTAAAAAAGTTGTTTAATGACAAAAAAAATGCACTCATATACACCTAGTAGGTAGGTACTTATCACTGTAATAAAACTGTTTTAATATAAAAGCAAATTAAGTGTATTACAATACCGCGTACATAGTATATTATTTTAAACAGACGGACCCCGTTTTTTTTACAGTTTACCCTCACTTAAATTGGGTTCAGGTCGGCTACTGGTTCTGCTGGCAGGTAAATAACCTATACGTAAACGATATGAATTATTTATATCACCGTATCTAGGCGTTTATTTCGCACGTACGAAAACCACTCGACCCATTATAGTGTATACGCCGAGATTTTAAATCGAGTTTACACCGAAATAGTTTCGGCCAAACGGGCGGTCTCGTTTCTTGTCCGTGGGGTGCAAACACACCGCGGCAATGCGCATATAGTAGAATGAAATATAACGTGTATAGCAATTTTAACGACTATCGTTGAAAGGAGTATTTAATTTTCGTTATACTCTGGTCGTGTTTTACAATCGTTTCTGTGATTTGTGATTGTTATTATTATATTTATTTGTGATTAAATACCTGTTATTATTATTGATTAATACTATATAGGTAATCTGTAAAACATCAGTTAACACGATAACGAACGGTAATAATAATAATTGAACAAAAGAAAAAAAAAAAAACAACACTATTATAGCAGAGGAGGTGATATAATTTATTACATAATAATATTTATAAAATACACGTTTGAACGTCACACATATTTTATACGTTTTTAAACAAAACAAACAGTGAGGGGGGGAAAAAAAAATGTATAAAAGTATAAAACTTAAAATAACGTTTATACACCATTTGATTAAATATAATAAACTACCGTAATATATTATGAATTATGATAACGAGTTTGTAATAATTATAACTTTTAGCGTTATTCGTACTTACGGCTTATATTATATTAAATTCTAACGATTTAAAGTTCACGGTGTGTATACTCAAACGCACAAAAGTTATTTACGCGTATGTATGGAAATAAATTATAAATACATGCATAAACCGCTTATTTCTATATATAATTTAATTATCATATTATATAATAAACATTGTAATAAAATGAGCAATAAATTGTCATTTAGAATAATAATAATAATAATAATTTAAACGTATAAAATAATATTATAAAAGTATACGAGGTGAATAAAAATAATTTAAGATTATTGTACTTAAATTTAAATTTTGTACTTACGAGTATAACCTTAAGCTGCGTACTAGAAAACGTTGGGATTGCACTTAACAACTATACCTACGTATAATACTATGATATATATTATTGAATATGCCACATTTAATAACGTTCGAACATTATATTATTGAACATTATAATTTTAAATTCTAAATTGGTATTCAGTCGTAAATATATCGTTGCGATATATCGCATACAAAAAAAAAAAACAAAAATTATAATTTTCGTCCAAATGAAAATACGCGTGTACAACAATAATTGTAATCGTTAATATACTTTGTGTTCATATTGTACAGTATAATTGAAACAAATTATAAACATTATTATATTATAACGCACGTAGATACGCGCGCTTTTAAACAGTGCGTACATAAATATCCGATAGACATATTGTTTACGATAATAATAAGTACACTGCGATTCAATAACATTTTTCCGGCAGTGAAAAATCTAAGTGAGCACCACCGCTTTGTGTACACACGGTCCGGCCGATCCTTCGAGCAGAGCCGGCCACAAGTACGTCCGCACTTGGGTGCTTTCCAGGTCCGAGGAATGATAACGCACGTGCAAGTCCCGCTTGAACGTTCGCTGTTCGTATTCCAATACGTAACTGGGCGACTGTTATGAAAAAGAAATAAAAAAACGGTTGTATAATATATTATGTATCGATTCAATTTCAAAATATTATTGTTTTGCGTGGTTTATCTGCGAAACGTGACCGCCGCAGAGAGAAGTCGGGTTCAATCGGGTTTACCAGAGAAATGTTCTCAGGAAAAATGTATACACGTACACCAATGTTCAAAGGGATCGTGCAATACAATGTTAACTTTTATTTAATTGATAGATTGGTAGTATCGGGTAGGTTTGGCGGGAGGACGAGCTGCCGTCTGTACCACGGGACAGCGGGTGTTCGGTGTCCGACCGGCATTTACCGCGCGTGCCTCAATTACTATGATGTATTATGTCGCATATTATGTTGTACCTTGTAGAGTCAAATAAGACCTTTACCTGAACCGAAGTAAAGTGTTCATTTTATTATATTTTAACAATAACGGTAAACATAAAATTCTGTTCCGAATGTCCGGTGTTCGATATATAGCTGGGTCAGAAAGGAACCGATAAGGGAAAACTGACGTGAGCGGGCCATGATGCACGACGTAAACATAGACTATTCTATACCTAGTTGAGCGAATGATCGAGAAAGACCCTATAGAGAAAAGACTCCAGAGAGACCGAGGTTAAGCCGAGTGAGAAGATCGTGTTAGGAAGCAGAGTGAGTTAAGACAACGGAACCGGAAACTCAACAGAAAGGAGTTGCAGAGAACTGCAGCAGCTAGGGTTGGCAGTTTATTCGTATTTGTAGTGGCACGATTATGACCGAATTGAGTCGAAGCGGCGCACCGTGATGTTTAATATGAAATGATCCTTATTAGGCCGCCGTTCCAATTTACTAGAAACATTTTATATTTGCCCTGCCACTATCCTTTATTTACTAGAAAAAAAATTGGATAAAAAAAATATGTCTAACGTTTGACTATAACTATTGCATAGTTTAGTAATTAATTTCATTTATATTTTCTACTCATTCGTTTTGTTAATACTTTATTTATATTTAAAACCTAACTTTTCATAAGCGGCCTTCATTTTTGGCGGCCCACCGAGATTTTCTTGATAATTCACCTTCTCAATCCGGGTCTGATGCATGGTCTGGAGGGCCAGAACCAAGTCGAAGAAGATGTACCGACAAATTAGTAATTACATATCCCATCATACGTGTTTGACAAAATGTCTATTATTTTCAATAATGACATCCGTTTCGGTCGACAAAAATACATCAATACGCAAATAGTCAAAAATAATATTCACCTGATTTACTAGCGCCCAGGCTAAACGCACGGCGTCACATATGTATTGATGAAGTCCAGCACACGATTTTAGACACGGATAATCGTATAACGTGGCCCACAGTTGAGAACTTACCTCCTGAAACGAGAAAAAATGTACACAAATATTAACAATTTATTAATATCAATACTCGAAATATATGGTCACTCAATATATGGAAAACATTCTCCAATAACGAACGTACACTTTGGAATATTGCAATAAATACAGTAAAACGCAATAATACTTCGAAAATGTAATATTTAGAGGATACGATACCCGCATATTGTGGGTGTCCGCGTCTCACAAAAGTAATAAATTTGGGTTCAGCAGTTTGAATATTAGAATAAACTGGTCAATTCTCAAGACGGATACAGCAAATGCGAATATCACGTCCCTTAGTCTAACACGTGGTGTTTTATAAAAATGTGATTTTGTAATGAAGTCACTGTTACTATACACGGCTTGTGCGATTATAATGTGTAAAAACAAGCTGATTTTTCTTTTTACCGAAAATTCGGATTAAGCTAGGTGTACCCAAAATGATACTGATATGCATCATTCAGAATTTCATTACGGACATAAAAAAAAGGTTACGATTATATGTGACTAAAGTGAAAACCCCGTGTTTTTTTTTTTTTTATACGAGTATAATCAGCCATATTTTTACAGAGATAGTTTTCACTGATTATAAAAAAAAAAAAATACATGTGTTTTATATGATTACGTATAAGTATACACTCGTAAAGTAGGTAATACTCGTAATATATAAATGTCGAAAGACGAGCGTGTTTACCTCGATGCATTGGGTTAAATCGAAAGTGTCGACCGTCCTTCGCAAATAGGAACAGATGGAAGCTTCGAGTTCGACGTGCGCCGATCCGGACGGCGTCGGATAGAACAACAATCTTTTTACTTGTTCTTTTTTCTGGCTCAACATGGCCTGTGTCGATCTGAACGCCAACTAGTGATAAAAAAAAAAAAAAAAATAATAATAATAATAATAAGATTGAAACCATTAGTAGGGATTAAATCATAATATTATTTGTACATCACTCGTATGTATACATACATATACATATACATATACATTTATATGTATGATATACATATAAACATTATACTCACGACGACGACGGAAAAAAGGATTTTCGATTTTAGCTCTGTGGCGTCAGCGAGCTGTGGCAACGTGTCCAATTTTTCGAGCGCTTCGACGCGAGCTTGCGAATACAAATTACCGTAACATCTGACCAAACGTGACCCACTTAGTTCCCTGAAAAATTTAAATACAAACAATATAATCTTTATTTAAACTCTCGTCGATATTTATTTTATTCTTTTTTTTTACATTTACTTTGTAAAATACATACATTATAAATATACCAAATAAAAAAATATATAAATAAATAAAGTAAATTAAAAAATATACATTATTTATAGATGCGAAACAAATAAATAAATAAAAACAGAAAAGGAACGTAACAAAGCCTGGATTATTATAGCTGTGTGTAAATACGACCGGTTTAGATTTGAAAAATCATTATCGGGCAATAAAACAACAACAACGCCGAAAAAATAATACTCCGACTGAATATAAAATCAATGGAGATTTACACGACGTGGAAAAAAGAGAGGAAACCGATTTGATTAAAATAGATTGTAGAACAAGACGAAATGACAATATGCAGGCATATATTTAAAAAGCTGCAGTTATTGTAGTTGATGCAGTTGAAAAATATTGGTGTAGAATATTTATTTTTTTTAAACATCTGTCTGTACACTCGAGATGTTTTTAAACTCATTTTCCTCGGCTTGTTTATAAATAATAATTGCGACTCCTTTCAATGCAAAATTAATGTAAACATTGTCATGGCTATTAGAAAATCTCCAATTCATAATTCGTATCAAAATTAACAGTATGGCTAAAACACGCTTTGCAAAATTTAAATTGGGAGAAGCTTCCTTTAATTCCCGAGATGTATACACCGAGACGCCTTATTATTGAACTGTATATCTTGTTTATAGTTGTATAGCGTGCGATTTATGGTTTTTATCGTTTCTTCTTCTTTTCTATTTGCTTTTCTCCGTATAGCGTTATATTATTCAGCCAAATGGTTTCGTCCGTAATATTATAACAATAACCGAATAGGTACTGCTAAACAAGCAAATAAATTTATCAAACATATATGTGTATCGAAGAACCGTCAAAGAGATAAAAACGAAGTTTGACGGCCGTATTACACTATAAGATGGCAAATCGTATCGGTTAGGATTATTATTTATTCGTGCGATAAACTGTACGGTAATAAATGACGGTATATAAAGCGAACCGCGAAACGGGGAAGGTAGTTTAGGGGTTCAACCCCGCCACCACCCCGAAATGTTTAAAAACGCGCCGCATGAATTCTACAAAGCTCAAAGTGTTCAATTTGTTTATTTTTTTAATCTCCACCCGAAAACCGCCTCCCGAAATCGTTTTTCGTGTATACGCGCCTGCGAGGTATTGTTGCATAGGTATTGACTCGACAGGGACAATATTTCATGAGTTAATCGCACAACTCACGGCATGAATAAACGTGTCACGGGTAAATCAATAAAATTCGGTGTAGGTATAATGGGCGCCAAGCCGTCCCATTAACTCATAAAATCGACTGTCGCATACATAACACAGTTGTTTTATATAATGTCTACGATCGCGATTCACGACGTAATAATTGAACGTTTTATTATGGACTGACGATAATGTAATTGAAAACAACAATAAAATTTCGGATCATTGAATGGTATTTTATCGTTTTCGTATACTAAATCATTCAAAGTTGTCGCCTTAATTTTGATTGGTGATTGTGAAAAGAAAAACAACTGACGAAATACATGATTGGCGACATATTTTATTGAAATTTTTATATAGTTCTGTGTTTAAGATTTTTACAATTAATCACAGTCGCTAGGCTATACTACTAATGGCAATAATGTTAGGTTCCCACTATGACGGGCATTTAGGTATAAAAATTGTGTAAAAAAAAAAAAAAATTAAGTATTTTACTCTATTATTATTATTATTGTTATTAATACGGTAAAATAAATTTGAAAAGTATTTTTTCATTTTACATACGTAGGTGTCGCGGGACGTTATGTTTTATAAACCATGCGCACGTGCGATATGGAAAAACTATAAATATTCGCGTTTGGAAGTTCGAATTATTTTCCGTGGAAAATCGATTCATTTACGTATAGGTATACCTATCTAATATAATCAATCATATTGTTTTCGTACATAGGTACCTACCTATATGTTTAAAAAACGATCATTAATCGTCAAATAAAAACGAAAAATATTTTATAAAATTCGAAGTTGTAGGTACTGATAATATTTGTTTTCACCTTTTTTTTTTTTTTTTTTTCAGTAAACCCAATTATAATGTACTTATTTAAGGTATATAGAAGTTAATTTGACGTCAGCGTCAGCGTCATCAATCATCGTGCGAATTAATTTCTTCCAGCGCGAGTCGTTGATAATATTATATAATATTATTATTATTATTATTATTAATATTTTTGATCCAGTCGCCATCAGCGCGTATTTGTGATGACAATATTATCAGACATTCAAAAGTCACGAGTTTATACCGCGGCTGCACACGTCAATAGAGCACACTCGACATCGAATTGGAGCGTTAAGGTGATTGGACCGCCCGCCCGCACGCCAAATTTCACCAAATTAGCATCGGCTCCAATCCACCACCCGAAATTCTGGGTAAGCGACTGCTACCCGAAAATTCTCTATAGCGAGCACTACAATGGCAGCAGATGTAAAAATATCCGACAAATGCGAAATCAAAAACTGTTATCGAACGGCATATTTTTAAACGGATTCATGAGACATTAGACTACGAATTATACTACGAATTTTAATAATAAAAATTACTATTATTAAAAAACTGATTATTATTATCACATATGGGTTACACAATAATATAGATTTTGAGTGTAGCGAAGGAACTATGTGTTATATCGGATTAGTTTTATCAATACGGTATTGTTTTATTTCGAAAAAATTAAAAAAAAACATCAAAAACAACTGTTAACAAACAAACGGTTTTAGACGGAATCGTGTTTACCGCGTAGAGATCTGAAATATCGAACCCGCATGGGTCTACGGATGGTGAGTGTGAAAACCAAAGCTCTCGGATTCGGATTTTCAAATTTCAATTCGAGGTTCACGCTTGAATTTTGGACGTTTTTCTTTGAAGGGGGGCCATAGTTTTTTTACCAGTCGTCATTATTTCGCAACGATTCATCGTCGCTTTCCGTATGCATCGCACATTATTATAAACTAGAAAATATAACTCTGTAATGTAATGTAATACTCTATATCTTATCAAATTGCGACATGTATGTGAAATTCTAAAAACCGTATAATAAAACGTAACGAACGGTCTTCTAAATATTTAATAAACACGTGATTGTATTGAAACGATTTGATTACATTATTCGTGAATTTTTCGTATGACAACGAAATACCGATTAGCGTTGGGCAGAACCGATTTTGTGCTGTTAGTTTTAATGTTGGAACGAATCGACCCAATATCAAATCGTAAAGGATTATTATCAGTATAGCGATGCGGTAATTTTCTTTCGGTATTTTAATTTCGGAACGAGATAAGCGTTTTTTAAATAATCGTGACGTATGCCAATCTCGTTTATGAAAAATTCGAAAAACGGCAAAAAAAAACCGACGCGTGAATATTGTAACGCCCGCCCGTATATCACGACAGTTCGATAAGTTCGCCCGAATATCGAAACTGACGGTATGCGAAAACGGTTCTGTCGAACGCAAATCTGCTGCGTATACCCGCGTGCACGCGCGCGAAAAACGAGACGACGAAAATATCGCGCGCGCGGTCCTCTTATTTGTAATGTTCGCCGCGCGTCACTCGCGTAAACCCAACTACATCGACCCCGCGGGCGACGAATACCGTCATCGTGTTACGTTGCATTGTCAATATAATAGTGAATTGTTTTATCGAAAATCACCCCGCCACACACACACACACACACACACACACACACACACACACACTCACACACACGCGTACGCAGGCCCGGATTAACGTACAGGCGAGATAGGCACGTGCCTAGGACTCGACAATGGCCGGGGCCGTGTTATTTCTGTAGGCGGGTAGTGATACGCAACAGCATTCCGAAATCAAGCGTGTTGAAACGGCTCGATAGTGACGTGATAGTAATTTCGAATTTTTGAAATAATCTAAATCGCGTTTAACGAGTTACGAGATAATTGTGCGCAGCCAGAGCGGACACAGGTGTATCCAGTGGTCGGAGTGGATGGGGGGATACGAGGGGATGACAGATACCACTTTTTACAATCTACATTTTTCGTCTCTCCACTTGTTTCGTCCAAAATAATACGTCCCTCTTATAATTATACACAACGGTTATCGATTTATATCGGTGTTTTTATATCGTAATAAACCATTAAGTCCACGGAAGACAATAGTAATGACTAACGTATAAACAGTTTGGTTTTTTTTTTTTTTTTTATTTGTTTTTATACCCGCTGTATAATTAATAATGGTATAACGCACACTGTTAGAACCTTATTGATAAGCTGTGTGTGCATAAATTATATATATTTATGTAAATATGTTTTACGTTTTAAACAAAGACATACAGAAATTCGAATACACGAACAAAGAAAACGCCACGCCGAAAAACAAAAATGCACACTGCATATAAAACCGTATTATACAAACAAGGTACGGGGGGCCGTGGGGTTCAGATCGTCTCCGCCTCCAATCGCCCCCACGTGCACAAGCCACGAAATCAGAACAGTATACGAGTTCAGGCATCACTCCGCTTATTTCGCGCCACTTCGACCGCTGGGTGTATCGTATTCAGACGTGTTCACGACGGGCTATTGACAAATATGCGCCTAACGGGGCTGTGGCCGGGCTTAGCCCGGCCCTAATAAACGCGCGCGGTTTAACCGAGCATATATTTTACCGCGTACATGTTTTTACCGTATAAATTTCCACAAACGGTTTATAAACCGAACGGCATTATATACATATATACGCGAACTTCCCCTCTCCCCCCCCTCTCACCGAGGCGTAAAATATATACGGTTTCTCCCGACGGAGCTTAAGTATACGGCGGCGCACGCGCGTACAGCTACACCGTAATGATACAATACAATAGCGCGCCGTTCGCGTCAAACCGTTTAATTACGAAAAGTTTAAATACACCCCGGGCCCGTTGCAGTGCGCTTAATACCGCGAGGCGCCCGAAAATCGGATGATGATAATATTGTAACACGATACGAAAACAAAGGCGTTCCCGCGAAACGTTTGTCGAACATGCATGTTCATAGGTGCTTACCTTAGGTGCTAAATTATACGAGTACACGAAAAATTCCGTAAATTCCGTACCAAAATCGTATTCGGGTGGTTTTAGATTCCGAAGCTTACGGTTTTACGACGGTGTTTATTTAAATATTTTTTCTGCCGATAACTTTTCTACCGGCTACCATTGATCCGATTTTCAATGACGGCACTTTTTCTGAAGGGAAATCGGACGGGATATCGGTACTTTAAGGAGGTCGGTATTTGATTTCTCCGAGAGTTTTCTCAATAAACTGGCAAAACCGGGTGCACGGGTACAGTAATAAACAAATATTATCAAAGATAATGTTTAATAATGCATAAATGTAATTATTTTCCCAAAATATGATGACATCGTTATTTTGTAACGCGTTATTAACCGAACTCCGCTCAGAATCGATTTTTCGTTAACAATGATTAATCGTTGCTCGCTGATATACATTTAATTCCCGTCTATATCCGACCTTACCAACTCCCCCCCCCCTACAACAGAGGCTGCATCCGTCCCCGTTATCTCGGGACATTTTTTTTTGTTTTTTATTTTTTTCAAGAATAATTTGACGTATTTACGGACGAATTCAAATTTTATTCAAACGCCGATTATACCTATACGTACCATTAAACTTGTATGCTCGATATTTTCTTAGATGCCGAGCGAAGCGCGGACTATTGTATTATGGTTTTATTATTACGATGTGTTTTTTCTGTTGGCGTTTGTATTCAACTTTTTTCGTTCCAATCAAAAACTTTATACGAATTTTCATGTAGCATTTTTGATCTAATTGGGAAGTCATTTTTTTATTCGCCTCGTAGTTTTTATAAAAGATGGAAAAAATCTGACAATTTTAATGTATAAAGTTTTATAATTTATATTTATATACAATGATAAATAATTGCTGGCAACTGATGAAATACAATTTTGAGCGAAATTCGGTTAAACATCTTTTGAAATGCAGTGAATTTTACGATGGAAATTTAAACTTAAACTGCTTATAAAAAAAAAAAAAAAAAAAACTATAACATTAATCTTAACTTTTTTTTTGTCACTTTTTCTGTTCAGCCTAAAAATTGTATACATCACATAAAATCAAATGGAATCCTAAAACCTCAAATATGCCTAAAAAAAGTACATAAATTGCCAAAATACTTTAACTTATCTACTACATAATATGTATAAGTATTTCGTAAAAGTTTTAATTCTCTAAAATAATTTTAAAATTGAATTATAAAAAAAAATAAAATAATTAAACCGTTAACGCCGCACACTTTCCCGTTTTTTTTCCGTTTTCCCTTTGATTTCGATTTTCGCCAATTATTAAGAAAACTACGAAGAAATTCAAAAAACAACCTCCTCAAAACACCAAGATTTAAAATGCCACAAAAAAGTAAAATAAATGATATGTATTATATATTTTATAAATGGTGCAGTAAATTGCATTACATTTTTTATTTTTTTTTTTTTTCAAACAACGATATTATGTATACTTTTTAAAATCTACAAAATGTATTTAGCAGATATATTTCGAAGGTATGAAGGGTCATAATTCTGTAACTTTACTGCAATGCCACTGGATAGCGAGTAAAACGAACTGTTTGTATAATATATTCTCGTATGTTGAGAATGTAAAAATAATTTTTAAACATTGAACTCATCGGTAAACTGTTCGTTTGTTGTTACGATCAATAATTTGATACAGAAAATCCGTCAGACCTGAACGCATCATCGTGAGTAAACATTGGCACGTTTTGATTGTATATTTGAACAAAACCAAACATTAACCACTCAAACTACTGTCTATATTTTCTCAGTTATTATTAAATTATTTCATCATCAATATTTCTACCGTTATTTTTTTCCTGGGAATTAGAGTTGTTTTATAAAGTTTAAGTGGATTTAAATGACGAGAGTCGAATTGATTTCAATATGAATTTTCACCGTGTTGTTGCGGGAGAAGGATGTTTTTTAGCTTTGCAAATCCCATATTAATCTCCAAAGAAGCCAAGGAGATGACATTTTGTATTTGCACGAAGTTAGTATATACCCTTGGGTATGCTTTTTTAGGGGTTTCAACATTCAACTTCCATTCCTACTATTTATACGGTTATGTTTCACTATTTTCTTGAAAATATGTAATATTATAATAATTGTATTGTATTATTCGGTTATTTATTGTTTTCCAATGAACATGTTATCTATAATAAAAAATAGTTTTAGAAAAATTTAAGCCTAGTGATGGAATTCATCTGATACTCACGCGTGTTTTTTTTACCGATATCTATTATTTTCTATTTTATAATACCGGAAATTTTTTTTGGAAGTTTATTAAAATATTTTTTTTCTATGTTCATTAAGCGTGATCCACCTCATTTGATTGGTTAAATTTTGCATTTTCCAAATTTTGATTTTTGAAATTTGTAATAGTTTTATTAGAACAGATTTTTGCGAATTCGTAGATTTTTCACACAGAAGTAATTTGTGTCAATACTTACTTCAGTTTTTCATATGAGAATCTATATTAAAACTGCCATAAATAAACGGAGTGTTAGAATAAATAAATTTAAGTGTTGGCATTTTTAATTTCCGTCAATCCGTTGGCGGTATATAACACTTTAAAGTTTGAATAGAGGGAGAGCAGTTGGTTGAACATTATGAAAAGGCCGCTCACCGTGCCGTCACACAAATAATACTTTTTAGAGTGTTATTCTTAGTATTTCGAAGTAAGATAACTCAAAAACTTTTCGTTTAAGTTTCGATTACAATACGTCGAAATTTTCAGAAAAACCATCCGATTTGCTTTGTAACGTGTAGATTTCCATTTGAAAAACCAAAGTCGGTATCGACACGAGATACTCCTTGAATTCTGTGAAAAATTCTACGTATTCGAAAATATTGGCTTTAACCGCAGTAGAAATTCCAAAAATCAAAATTTTAATGTATGAGAAATTTAACCATACCAATGGGTTGGGCACGCTTAATGAATCACCCTGTAGATATATTTATATAAATAACGACGATTATTAAAAACCAACCGACAGTATTTATTGTTATTGTTTTGTTATTAGCAATTAAAGTTTAGAATATAATATAATACGATGGGGGGGGGGAGTGGAAAGAGCCACGTATATAATATAGGAAAATAATAAATTTTATGCTCCGCGAAATTGTTTACTGCCGCTATACGCGCGTATTAAATACTGCACCATTAAAAATATGTATAATATAATATATAAGTGATATAAAATCTGAAAAATTCGACGAGATAAAAAAAACAAATTATATTATATACATCGTGCGTATCAATGTAACTGTAGTCTGTTGATATAATAAGTAGTTACAAATACATAATTAAAAAAGGAAAAAAAAAAACAGTTCCATTATGTATACGAACAAGAAAAATATTTTTAACGAGTACCTAGCGCGTTATGAGAACTATTACTAACCGCAATAACCAATATTACGGTTTATAAACCGTATCACCGTTATTACTTGTATTTTATACTATTGAAAACGGTTCGTTAAAATATATGAAGGGTATAGGGAAAACAACAGAAAAGTCATTTTGTTTTTTCAATCCGAGAAAACAACGTTTTTAATTTCAAAAAAGAACGATTTGTTTTTTTTTTCTTTTTTATAATGTAAAAAGTTCGGATCGAGTTTAACGTTGAACTTTGGAACGTAGTAAACAAAATTCAATTATGTTTGAAACGCATAATAACTACTGCATTGAAATGTAACAGACAAACCGTATAAACTATACCTTTAGGTATAGTTGACTTCCGGGTTTTTTCCTGTACACTTCATATAAATATATGTGTATTGTTTTTAAAAACCTTATTATCGCGATATTCTGTTCTATTAAAAGTCTTCCAGTCGGATGTTCAACGGAAATTCGCCTAAATTAAAGAGTGTCCGCACATTGCCGATAGATCCCGGTGAAATGGAAATATATGATGCGTATATTCAAATATTGTATTATGTCTTATAATATCATACCCTATCAATATGCTATGTTGTTCTTCGAGGAACTATTCCCGGAACCGATTTCTTTTTAATGGAACTAACGAACGAATCGATTCCATTATTTTTGTTACGTTCGTAGGAGCGAAGAAAATAACGAGTTTTTTTTGACATTAAAGAAACGAGGAATCGATCGGATTCCTAATTAAAAGGAACGGTATTAATAAAACCGTCAGTATTGTGTTCAAGGGGTCGCGTATAGGCAATGTTAACGTAGACTTAGAAAAAACAAATTTTGATTCAACGACTCAAAAACACTCGAAAAATCCGACTTAAGGGAATAGGATGCCGGCATATTATTTTTTTTGTCTAACACATACTCAGCATAGAAATTTGAATTTGTAATTTTCCGACCATTGGTTCGATCGATGTTGTGAAGCGATTTCGGTTAAACATTGTAACATGAAAATTAATGACGCTATCATTTTAATAAAGACATTTAAAGTCTGACGTATGATGGATTTAGTCGAATCAGGCAACCGCCTGTATAAAGTGGTGTTTTTCGATTGTATAACGTTAAAATCGAATTGTATAATATTCGTTTGGAGATAAAAACGATACTTCAATACGAATTTTTTTTTCTTTTTCTGTATATGCGTGCAAAAACGATCGCTCTTCTTTTTCGATTGAACTTCTTCAACACATCAATAGATGTTCACTACTCTCTGATTTGCATGCGTATACTTATTCGTCGGTCGTTTTGCGACGGAGGAAACTTTCCACAATGTATCTAATAATTATTGTTCGTCGCATGTTCAGTCGAGCAAATAACTACGAAGCTGATCCTACGACGACGTCCTATCCTCGATTCGATCAAAATTCTCGTATATATTACAAAATTTAACTTATTCGTGCGTTATCGGTTTTTTCGCATTTCTTATTATCCGCATAGCTGAGCCGAATGCGACTGTCGTATAGTGATTTTACGTATGATGCGAATGTATAGCCTCGTCATCTCGTAGCTAGTATAATCTCAATGAAATTTAATAATAATAAAAAAAAAAAGAACTCGAAATAAAACGGAATGCACAAGGAAGGGAGGAGGATTGGCGAAATTATGGGACAATCCTCAGAGGCCTAAGAACCGTGGAAGAAGGAGAAAAAGTAAATAATCTCAAGAAATAATTATGGATTTTCCTCCATACACATAGTAATTCTATTCTGTACGGTATATAATTCGTCATCTATTCGGTGGTTTTCGTCGGTATAACATTATCACCACAAGAATTAACGTTCACACGTTCGTTCCAAACAGTAACATTATAATTAGGTATAAATCGAGTAGGTATCAAACGAGTACCGGTTCTTTTTTTTTTTTTTTATTCTTTGTTACAAATTTACCTTACGGGTCTGATTTCGATGATTATTTTTTTTTTTTGTCGAAAATAGGAAACTAGACTTCACCTACAGACGGCATTGAATTCCTTTTTTTCAAGATATTAATCTCAAACTTTATAATTCGTTTTTAAAAAAAGTTATTTTTTTTTCATTTTGGACGATATTTTTATAGCATTAACTGAACGAAAAATCGAAATTCAATTTAGTCTTTATGATGAAGTTGTTTATTAATTTAAAAAAAAAACTAATTATGGAAAAATATTATGCTGACAATGATTTATCCCTGTTCCCGTAGATACATTTCGTCCGTAAAATCGACCTTATTACTTCCCTCTAAATAAATATTGGTCAGTTGATTTGTGAAAAAATCGTATCTTTTATGTGATCATTAAAATGTGAAAAATATTTTTTTGATAAAAAATAGTTTAAATTTTAAAAAAAAATTATGACCAGAAATTAATCGTTGACGTAGGTAATGTAAAGGGTTGGGAGTTTCTTCCTTCTAAAAAAACAAATTAAGACAAAACAAAAATTCATAAATAAAAGTTAATAACGAAATGATAATAATATGTATACATATTTCTTGGCACCAGTGGTGGATTAACGAGGGGGGTGGGATACAGGGAGTCTGTAGTTTCCTCCAGACACCGATATGATTTCAATAAAATATTATCTAAAATGTGGCATATACACAAGAACCTCTGAAATAATTTGATTTTTTAGGATCCCTTCTAGAAAAATATTAAAAATCTGACATTGTTTATAGCCTAATATCTTTTGACTATACTACATTATTATAGAATATACATCCCTCTAACAGCTGCAGTTTGCTAGGAGAATTCCGAAAAAAGGCAGTTATCATATAATTTTAAAAAAATCAACAAAACCGATGCATCATCGTTTATTGTTGGAAATCAAGAAATTTGTTTTATATAAAGTACCGCTGGGAGAAAATCCACATTTGTATAATAGACATATTCTTTGCAGCAATAAAAAAACCGTATATAATAATAATACACTTCTATAATATAAAAGTGTATTATGGTATCATGTATTATGTATGTATTATTAGTGTAGTATAATATTATTATACTACATCATTAAAACTATAATAATATACTACTTCCAAAAAAAATGATGAAATATGATCATACGAACAGTGGGGTAGGAATCGAAAAATGAAAGCTCCCAAAAAAATATTTTCGATACTAAAACCATACATACATGAATGAAACGATGAAATCTAGTACGATTTTCGGGCCACTGTTGTAGTTGACGATAGTTGGGAAAGTAGTGAGGGGGGTGGGGTAGGTTAAGTTGAATGTACAATGTCTGTACACAGTGATTGACCGTTGCTAACGAACAACGATTCTGAGCGGAGTTCGGTTATACATGTTTTGAAAGACCGCAGTATTTATGATTTGAAAATAATACAGTTCGTACATTTGCCCGTTTCTCCTACGTTTTCCCGGCTTTTCTCATTTATTATGAAAACTCCTGGGGAAAATAAAAAAAAAAACCCCTTTAACACTTTTATATATGGTATAAAAGTTGTTCACAGATAATAAATAAACATCATTGTAAAACCAATACATTTCTCATTCCGTTCAGAATCTAGAAATTCAAAAAAAAAAAAAAAACTGGCCTCTACGACTAAATTTTCGTGCTTGGTTTACCCGATATACTCTATTTGCAATAAGCGAGGTTAGGTGCAATAATTGAACAGCATTGTATACACGAGCGAGTAGTATAATCCGGAGTCCAGTCGACTCGACGAGATGTACCTAAATCAAACACACGACTACTAACTGTTATTTGGAAATATTTACAATAATCGGTTTTTCTACCAATCGTAAATTCGTAATTTGTTTAACGTAGGTATACAATTGTTGAACAGAAATTATAATACTCGCTTAAACTCGGACGAAAGTGAGTTTTTAGATAATCACGTTGTAATCGCATTCCACGTAGGTAAGAATATTTTTATTTTACATTCTGTGTGTAGCGGAAATTTGTACAAAGATGATGGTTATTATTATTTTTTTCTTTGCATGAACACTTTTTCAACCAGGAAGTCTAAAACTCCGATGTATACGGGGTGTAGACTCTTTTCTAAAAGGAAATTCACTTGGGATAGTACATTATTCGATTTTCTCAGGAATTTTTTCATCAAATATGAAAAACGGAAAAATGTACAAAATACATTATATATCGAAATACCTTCCCAACTTCTCACCTGCAACAGTGGCAGCACCCACATGCGAAGTATGTCCGTCTTTTTATTTTTATGCACGTTTGAAGCTCAGATTTTCTGAAAATCGATCAATCGTAAAAACATACAATTGTACACGGATATTATTTGACGTATTTACCTTACCTCGCTGAAAACATAAATCGGTTGCACTATCAGTATCAAAATACGCCAAAGTAACAAAAATTGTACGTATGCTTACTGATCAATATTATTTATTTATTTAAACGATAATAAATATCGCAAAACCACGCGCTGGCTAACAATATCGGCAATAATATTAATTTTGTTTATTGTACGCGTATTTAATCGAACCGTAGTAAATTATGTTTCATGAGTTTGTTTTATTAATTGTCGTATTTAAATTTTTATTTTTCTAAATTGTTTTGTAATCATTCCTTTAAACTTTTTGAATAATTTATTAAGTTTTCTTCATCAGTATAATAATAGTGGTTTTTTTTTTTTTTCGTAAATCTTTGTTTCTCCTTTATAGTTTTTTCTCGGTTTATTTGCACGCGAACTCTTCGAGCCAAGACTGCTGGTAGCTGCGGATGATTTCAAAGAACGAGGATCGGGATTCGATGATCAAATTCTATCATAGAGTGTAATATTACGGATTAAAGGTAAGGTTAGGTTAATCGATACAGTGGATTAGGCCTACTCGGGGACACCACTATAAAAAAAACGCGCCTCGTGCAAAACCTCATACGCTTTACGAATAACGTCAAATACTGGTAATAATATTTCATTGACGTCTGTCGATAGCTAAGGTGGTGCGGAATATTGCACACGAGTCTTATCCGTATATTTATTGTAATCATTCGATAAGATTCGATAATTTAGGCATTATATAGTTTCTTTAATATCATATGTTTAATATTGTACCGATTTTACTAGTTTTCCTATGTTTTTCACGGTTTTCTGATGTTTTTCCTGGTTTTTCACATTCGATGAGAAAACTCCTGAGAAAATCGTAAAATGACTTCCTTAAAGTATCTCCCCAGTCCGATTCACTTTCAGAAAAGGCGTTACACTTAAAAATCGGGACAAGATTTCTGGTAAAAAAGTTGTTTACAGTTAACAAAAGAAAACATCTTTGTAAAACCGTAAGCTTCTTCACTCCGCTAAAATAATACAATATAAAATTCGAGTCGAAAGTTCGTATCTATTAAACGACAATGATAATATCGTTTAAACGGGCGTGTATCATTGAACGAGTAATAAATAGATCGACTATGCTAAATTCAAGGACACTTTCCCCGTCTCGTTGCGATAGTTTAAACGCCGACAAAAAAAATTTAGCATCTATATCTACGTTTTTATATTGTACGAACAGATTTACGTGCTATTATTATGACAAAGTGATGCGTTTACTCTAAAAAAAAAAGAAAAAAAGAAAAAACACGAAAAAAAATGTCTAGATTTATCACTAAAACAAGGTTAATGCCTTTATATTATTATAAAGATAAGGTGCGTATCGATAAATATTATATTATATTTACTATCATTTGTTTCGCTATTACATAAAATGCGGCATCGTGTACGTCACATTCTCAATAAAAAAAAATAAACATTGTAAACAGTTTTTCATTTTTTCATTTTTATTTTTTATTTATTTATTTATTTATTTTTTTTTTTTATAGCCGAGTAGAACTGTGCATAATATTATAATGGTATTATGATTTATGCGGGCGCCGCGCGTGTATAAACGTTTCGGACGTCACTGCACGCGTTGAGCGAATGTTGATTTTAATATACGTATACGCATATATATATTTTTTATCAGAAAAAAAAAAAACTATAACACTAATAAAACCGGACACAATAATTCGCAACATGTGTTAGACTACCGTCGTAGGCGAGAAGTTCGAAAGATATTATACATAAATAATATTATTATAGGAGCGATCCGGCGAAATCAACGGTGAACCGCCGGGATCAAAAACCGATTCTAAGCGGAACTCGGCAATCTAGTAAGGTCGTAACAATACGACGAGTATAATAAAACCGTTCGTGTTTTATTCCCTCGTGCGCGCGGGTATCCAAGGTGACCCGAAAATCAATACGAATAAAACCGATACATCGTGTCATTGTCGTAGTACCTTTTTTCTTTTCTTTTTTTTTTTTGTTTTTCTGGTGGGAAAACTCTCGGGAATCTATGCGGCGAAACGTTTCGAATACAGCAGCGGCCGGCGCGTCTTTTAAAAAAAAAAAAAATGTCGTACGGCGTAGAAAAAAACAAAAGTGAAAAAAAAAAAAAAAAAAAAAAAAAAAAAAACGAAGCCGTTAAGCCGTAACCGAAAAATCGTTTACCGGGGAAACGACGAACGCGTCGCGGCGCTATTTTATATTATTGTACCCAAAACCGATCTGTAAACTGTACGCGTGCGATCAAATTATAAAGGCTTGTTCGCGAGATACGCGCGGAACGTAAAAGCGAACGCGATTAAAACGTAACTACCAGCGTAGGCGTATGCGTGCGTACCGAACGGAATCGCGCGGGGTCATCTCTGAAACGCATTACCCACTGTGCTATTGCGTTGTCGTTGTCGTAATGAAACGAGCGCGCGCCGCTAGTGTGTGTAATTCGGTCGTAAGCGCCCGCAACATTAATATGTACTCGCGCGTTTACGTATACACGCGCGTAACGGAGCACGGCTAAATTAGTGCGCGCATAAAATATTCCGGCGGAACAAACGGGCACGGCCGTCGCCCGAAAAACCGCCCTCGGCGAACGTCCGCAACGTTCCCCGGCAACGGCACGGGGGGACTCGCGCGGGGATCCCGGTGCGCACCAGGCGTTCCGAATTTGTCCGGCCATTCCGGTGTTTGCGGAACGCCGAGAAAAATCGGTACGGCTCGCCGGGCAGGTCGCCGCCGTTGTTGCGTTGTGGGGGCGGATTAGCTGGATATATTAAGGATCGGATTTGCCGCGGGGCGACGTAACGTGCGGGGGGCCGCGCGCGCGCCGATAAACCGTCGCGGACGAACAGACGGTAATGTTCAGTGAGCGTTGCGGCAAACCGGATTGTATCGACGTTGTCTGTCGTCGGGTGTTCGAATTGTACAGAAAGACAGCCCGGAAAACCCCGTCCGACCTAGCTGCCGGGCGAAAAGGCCGTATCCTTTAACGTGCGACGCGAAAAATGTGTTAGATCTTTCGTACGTGACCGGAGAAGTAGTTTCCCGCGAACTGAACCGAAAAAAAGAACCTACGGTTAAACTGTGGAAAGTTTCGAGAACGTTTAAAAAAAAAAAAAAATCCCACCGGGCGAAAAATCAGGCGCACGTTTATAAGTACTATACGAAAAAACCGAAGCATTTTTACCAAATGAAAAAAGAAAAAACACCCACATTATCATAGTGAAACCAATAATAATATCGCTTCTTCGCTTCGCTCGGCTATCTGAAAATCGTGTTTCTTTTGTAATAAATTTACGTTTCTCGAGTTTTTTATTTTTGATACAAAAAAAAAAAACACGTAAGCGTAAATTAAGAATATATTTATTCGTTCTTTTTTTTTTTTAAAAAAAAAAAAATAATAAACAACATCGCGGTTCTGTTCATCGGCCGCTATGAAAATGAATCATAACGAAAATATGCGATAACGACACTCATCTGTATTGATCAGCGCAGTTAAGTGAATAGGAATAATAAAAAAAACGCGACCCGTTTTGAAAATTATTTTGACACGATTACGACCGCGAATGCGCGCGTTGTATAATCATATCATTGTGTATTCTGTAGACAAGCAGCTATAAATTACTATCAAAGTTAATTGTGAACGACAATAATTACTATAACCTTTCGTGATTTACAGGATGAAAACAACGCGTTATTATTATTGTTTTTTTTTTTTTATCGATTAAAAATAATTATTTAGTGTAGTGAATGTTTGCTTTTTTTACGAAGTTGTGTTCTTTTTTTTTTTCGAACTCCGAATGTAGCGCGATGACGCTATTAGTTTTACTAAGATGTGTATTTTTTTCCCTTCGCAAAACGTTTTTTTTTTTTTCGATTGTAGTAAAAAAAGTCCCAAACTTTTCACACCGGCGGTACCTTATATTTGAAAATGGTCTTCTAGATGCCAAAAATTTTTATTACAAAAAAAAAAAAATTATTGACAACCAATGAACATACACGACAGTTTTATTTTGTCGATTTCTAAATTGTCTTTCGGAAGAAAAAAACACGACCGATACTACACGTAACGTTTTAGTTACCGAGCTTCGAACAAAATTATTTTTCGTTATCTACCGATTATTTACCGTTGTGCGCGGTTTTAAATGAATTTGCCCTTCATCCGATGCACGTATTTCCGACTTTCCACCTGCACCAGAGAGCATGGTGCCAAGCATGCGTTTGCATCTTCTTTAGAACGTAACGCCTAATATATGTCGACGGCATTATGTCATTGTGTCGTATTTAAACTTAATTTCACGTTCTATAATTAATGTCTTAATATAATTTATCGCGAGTCAGACGTGTACACAGATAAAACGTTCGAGGAAGTCAGGGGTGATTCATAACTAAAAAAAATATACGGACATACTTCGCACGATGGTCGGGCCACTGTTTTTGGTGAGAAGTTGGGAAGTTATAGAGTGGAAGTTTAATGTATATCTGTATTAACAATTGTTAACGAAAGTAGAATAATTGCATATGCGTTATACATTTTCTTTAATAATATTTGTTTAATATTATACTTATTTCCCTTTTTCTTTCCGTTTAACAGCTGGGAAAATAAAATAAAAAAATGATCTTTTTAAAGTAACACTCCAGTCAGATTTCCTTTCAGAAAAAATGCAATCATTGTAAATCGGAGTAAATTTCCAGGTAGAAAAGTTGTCCACAGGAAAAAAAAAATAAAAAACTTCATTGTAAACCAATACATTCCTCGCTTCGCTCAGAATCAAAAACATTGAACCCTTTGAACTATATATACGAATATACTTAAAATATGACGTGTTTTTCCAAGGACAGGGATGAAGGCTAAACCCCTAAACCCCTCTCTTCTCTGTATACGTGCCTATCACGAGCGTTTTTCAACATTTCAATTTACGTACAAACGAGTACTTGTAACGAATATGTTGAAAAGTGAAAATATATTAAAATATTATTGTAAGGTTAGGTTAGGTCAGGTTACTATTATAGTATGAACATATTTTTTATTGATCGCATAGTGTACGATATAGCTGTATCGTAAATCAAACACGGATTGCGCTAATGTATTTCCGGCGTTCGTGGAGTGAAAAAAAACTATTTCGAGGGAAACAAAATGTGATAATGACACGCGTTTATTTTGTTTAGGATTTCATTATATAAAAATCATTTTTTGATGTCTCGTACAACTTTCGAAATAATTACGGAGTTGGAAGAATACTCGACTTTGGAAAAATTCTCAAGTCAAGTACCCGGACTCGACAATTTTTTTTTTGTATACTTAAAAACATGTGTACTCGACTTTCCTCGAGTACTTATTCGACTTTAGCGATAAAACAAATTATAGAGTTGAATATAATAAAAAGCAAAAAAAAAAAAATTGAAAATTCACCGTTAATGAGATTTTGCTCTAAGCCGACGGTATTTCAATAGGGAAAAAAAGTGCAATTTCAGTTTACGCGATAAATATACGAATATTCGCGCGGTTTAAAATGCTTGACATTGTCGAGTACTTTTTAAAACTCGGGGAAATTTCAAAAAAAAAAAACCGATTCTCGCCCAAGTCTAGAAATAATGCACCGGGCTGGTTCCGAGTGACGAAGTAATAGTTTACGCAAAATGTAAAACCGAGAATCGTTCGAAACGGCGACGTGGTTGAATATGAGGAAACACTCACTTTGAAGCCTGCACCTGTTTGGCCGCTTTAGTCATAACCTCGAGTTTAGTCTTGGTCCGTTCGAGTTCGTCCCGGGCGGCTTCCAGTTCCGTTTGCAACGTCAACTTTTCCCGGTCGTCGTCGACGACGGCCTGTAATTGCAAAGCGGCCTGGGGTCCGCACTTACGGCAACAGGTCATCGTGTTCATCGATTTCTCGGTCGACCATTCCCAATTCGGCGCCGCTGAACCAAAAAAAAAAACAAAAAAAAACCGATATAAACACGAGCTATTATATTATTATTTAGTGTAGTCGGGATCGCGCGGAAGTATACATACATATTATACGAAAACAAAACCGAATGGCCGAGGAACGGCCGATGCAAATTACACCCAAGTATAATATTATGCTTCGCTTTTCAACCGGGCCGCGTCCCGATTTTTCTAATTTTTTTAATTCGCATTTTAGTCTACGCCTATACGCATTTGTTATTATCATAACATTATAGAAAATACGATTATTACCGCGTTAACGTCCGTGAAACCTATAATGATATCGATCCGGTCTGCAAATTAACGGGCGACGGCGGCGCACTGCACACTCGCGCGGTCGTATCGAAATATTATTCACAATATCGGTAATTGGCTTTGATTAAAATACAGCGATTTCCGCAAGCAGCTACGCGTATAATGTACGCAGGTACACAGGCCACCGTACGTACCGTAATAACGTGCCGCATCTTCAAACCGCGGCAATAGGTGGACGGGTGGAGGGGGTGGGGGGTCTTCCGAATTTCATATTTCCGGTGAAACATTTATTTTTTCGAAAAACGACTCGTACAAAAACTTTTCCGACTTGTGTGTTCTGAAGACTGTACATTGTTCGCATGTTTTCGTCACCATCATTTTCGGGTTTGAAACGGTTACTTATATTTTCGATACCATCGATCATTGACGAGATACGTCACTTTTAAATTCGAGTGAGGGGATTGTAGTGGAGCATCGTTCGTGTGGCGACACAGTACGCGACGTTTGAATAGTGCTTCCCTTACTCTCCCCTTACCCAAACTTAAAAAAGAAATATACCGTCAACGGGATGACGAAAATCAAAAATGTCAACACCGAATTACATTTTTAACTATAACTCCGTCTTTATATTTATATAGGTTGATAATTTGTTACTTGAAAATCAAAAAGGTAGCCGATTCACACCCGAAACAAGGACAAAGTAACATTTTAGAATATATGATTATGAAAAGTTTTTATTGAAAAACTAAGTAATTCATTGAAAATTTGATTGTACTTGAAATTTGATAAACCCGGTAACGGATACGGTTAAAAACTCAAAATTAATTTACAAGTTACTCTATTTTTTTGATAACTTTTAACTAAAAAAAAAAAAATGAACAAAATTGAATTGATTAATTAAATTTATTTTCTGCGAAGAATACTATGGAATGCTAGAAAATATAGGTGTAAAGTACAAAGTGACGATTCACGGGTACGCGTGAAAAAAGATGTTAAAGTTGATATGTTTCAGAACTTATCAGACAAACGAAAATAAACTTTTACTAAAAACCCAAGATTAGCATTTTAACGTTTCGCTATAATTTAAGTACCGTAGGACTCGCATGTGTTTTTCCATATTGATTAACATAATTATTATATTTTAATGTTTAAACTTTATCTGTTTTTATATCGATTTAAACAATTAAAAATAATTAATGAACAATAATTTGTCAATGACTCAACTTAATTGACATTCAATAAGGAAACTCATATAATGTTAAGTTGATTGCAGTATCTTAAAAATTGCCTTAACATATTCTACATGAAAAGAAAAGATTTTTTTTTCCTGCTTTTTTGTGTAATTAATTCATTTTTCACAATTTGATGATTTGTCAACATTTTACGCGTACCTACAAATAGTATAGTGCCAACCGCCATATAACCTATTGAAATATATATCGTTGTTTTCGAAAATCAAAAGTCGCCATGGGTTTAGAAGGTAACTGGTATAATGTTGTTTCATCGGATACTCGAGAATAGCCCGGAAAAGGAAACGACCCCGGAGCGAAAGTACTTACTCCTACGAAAAAAATAAAAAAATAAAAAATTAAAATACAGAAACTACAGATCTGAAGTAGCTGGTACATTTTTTTTTTTATGTATACAATCTTATTAACAAGATAATTTTTATTATAACTACACACTTTAAGTTTATGTTATTTCTTCGAGTGCTTACATAAATTTTATACTTTTTTTTTTCGGTGAATTAACATTTTTCAAACTTTAAACGCTGAAAGCAATGCATAAAAGGTTGAAATGTCGTCAGATAACAGGGGGAAGAGATGGGTGATTTAGTGGCCACCTCGTATAAAATATATAAAATAATTTCTATTATTAAAATGTATTTGATAACAAAACTTTATAAATTATAACGTTTCCAACACTTTCCAGGTTCCGGGAACGTTCCGCGGACTTTTTGTCTCCGGAAAAAAAAACGACACAATAGGTACCTTGATTGGTAAGTAGATACGGGGTGTCCCGTGAAGGTATTACGATCCATCCAAAGGCTGTGCCACTACACACATAATATTCCATTAATCTCGCCCAGCCCAAACATTAAGTGGAATTCCAAAAAATTAGTTTTAACTAATGCTCCGTCTATTTATGAAATTTAGAATATACTGGATTGAAAATCAAAAGTAGGTAGGCGGTTCACCATCAAAAATAAAAGGAAACAAAAATAATGATATCTAATATAAAATTTAACAGATCATTTTTCTGAAATTTCAAAAAAAAAACTTCCGAAAAAGTTAGTACTTTCTAAAATATCGCAATAACCATATCTTCGTGAAACACTCTGTAAAGATAATATTTTTAAAATACTGTAGTAAATAAGATCATAGTATTATTATAAGCCGTCCAAGCCAAAAATTATTTCTACTCAAATTTTTCGTCTAAATAATCGCCGGTTGGTGTTGTAAAAATCACCCTACATGGGTAACAAATACCCCTATAGTCTATACAGAGTAGAAAATTTATCCCGGACCAACGATTGTATCGGACTATTTTTTAAATACATTTGCAATTTGATTTCGGTTCATTTTTCCGATTATTATGGAATTATTATTATAAGCTTGTAATTTGAATTTGATGAGTTTCGAACTTTCACCGACGTTCCTTATGCTTAATAAATGGGTGTTAACTATTGATTTACGAATAGCAACCCTCCCCATTTTAATACGGATCCGAAAGAAAAACTAAACATTTTGATATGTGGTATAATAGAGTATACAATATCGGATTTGCCGCGTATGAGTTATACCTAACAGTTTAAGGTTTAGACCGGAGGAATAAGGAAGCGTGATAAACGTCACGTCTATTTTGAGCCTATAGATCGATAACCCTGTGCGTCCAATTGCTAAGCCTAACAACGCGGGGTCCGTGATGAACGGATCACCCTGTAATCTGTACGTATTATGGCCGTCGATAACAATAATAATCGTAATTCGTTACCCGTAGTAGACGATTCCGCGCCGTCCGGAGGACTGGCCGAACTCGATCCCGTGCTCATCACTAATCTGGTCCGAGTGCTGTGATTGCTGCTTGATCGCACTGTTATAAAAAAAAAAAAAACAAAAATACAATTATTTAGGCTAAAACTAAACGTATTTACATAGGTATGATAATATATTATAGTATTATGCGGATACGTGTGTGTGCGCGTGTGTATTACTCTACCGAACACACGATACACACGAACACCGCGTTACATACACGGATTTTTTGCTCGGACTTATGTGGTTTTTTTGTTTACATTCGGAGCGTTGCGAATGATCTATTAGTTTTATATAGTATAAAGTTTTTTTTTTTTTATAAGTTTTAATATCAAATTTTTACGAAAACCGTAAGTATTACGGCCTTTCAAAACGTGTATAACCGAACTTCGCTCCGAATAGTTTTTCGTTAGCAATGGTTTATCGTTGGTTACAAGTATAAATTAAATAACTTTATGTATCCTACATTCCCGAATTTCCATCTACAACAGTTGCGCGCCCGTCTCCAGAATCGACTCTTTTTTTTTTTCGTACAATGTTTTTATTTTAAAACGACGGTTTTTTACTATTTAGTTTTATAAATTCGTAAAGCAATATTAACATTTACCAGGAATTCAAATTTATTTGGTCATAAATCAACATTTAATTATGTATACTTCCGTCCAATCAAAAGTCGTTTATTTTTCATTTAAGAAAAAAAAAATCAAATTATGTGTATATGTACAACTTGGACGAGTGTGTAACACCGTATATAGAATTTTGCCAAAAAATATGACCCCAAAAACCGGCTTTCGTGAAAATCCCACAGCCGAGTATTGATACAAAAAGTACACATTTAATATACAAACCAATAAACGATACAATTTTAGCTCGTTTTAGATTTCTAGACATGAGTTTAGAACACCTTATACGTATTCCCGTTGAGTCTTGTCTGTCCATATGATGGATACTTGTATACAGATCGGGGGGGGGGTTACGAGGAATTTATTCTGGGGGGAGGAATACGATTTCTAAAATTATGTTACTCCACCCCTGAAAATAGGGAAAAGAAGAACTATACAACATTTACAAAAACACAATTGCTTAGCTTTTCTGTGTTAACTGTTCAAATTAAATTCAAAGCCATTTGGATAAGAATCTGAAACGTCACGTTTCTGTATTCATCAGTCATGGGAAAACCTTTAAATTTTTATTGCAAACGATAGTGAATGCGGTATTTGAATGTCTATCATTTTAAGTTTCATTACGTTTAATCACTACTCGCAAATCACAAACTATAAAACACGTAAAATAAATTGCACTTTTAAAATTTAAACTACAGACAGTAAGTGGATTTGAGAGGTTTAAAAAAAACGGTTTGACTATGTCAATTTAATTTCTTAACATTGATGTTATTAGTTAATAACAAGACTTAAAAGATTAAACTGTAGTTTTAAAATATTACACTTTTACAGGCCACAAGAAACAGATTTATACTATTCGTAACATTATATTGTTAATTGTTGTTTATTTTAAATGAAAATTCGTACTGATCAATATTACAGAACAAGTACCGAAATACATGCGCTTTAAGAATTTTAAAATTATTCGGTCAACTATTTACAAATTAAAACACTCAATTTATATAGGTTTTTAAGCGTAAGCATGAAAATAAACTACAAGATTACAAATTCTTTTAAAATTGTTTATTGTTTAAAATCCGTTTAAAAACCGGAAACTTTGTACGCTCGCATAGTGGATGTTTTCGATTTCTGAAGAATGTGTTATTGGTTTTACTGTAAGGCGTTTTATTTTTATTTTTTGTCTGTGAAAAGAACTTTTCCACCAGATACATCAATTTTACTCCAGTTATTCGCTTAGGGGATGGTTTTTTCTAATAACGTATTTTGTCTTTACGGTGCATTTAAGAAGTGATTATATGATTTGTTTTTAGTAAATAGTATTATTAATATATTGGGAAAAAACGTCGAGAAAACGGTAAAATGTGCGCAATAACGGTTTAGGCAATTTTTGATTTTGTTGTTTTTTTTTTTTGTTAAAAATATTCGTAGAGAGACCATACATTATTACCGAATACTTATATCAGCCTTTTCCAGACGCTGTACAGTTTTCAAACCAATCTAGTGGTTTTCGCCGTTTATTTGGCATTTGTAAAATTCAAGCTGTTGTTTTTTTTTTCAGTTATTATTTCGATACAAATCGTATGGCTACTCAAAAATGCTCGAAAATATGCGGATTATTATAGTGTTATTTCTAATTCAAATTATATCATGAGATTTTCAATTCATAGTTTTTCATATCATATTTACACGAACATCACACAGAATTGTTTTTCGTCGCCCACCGATGATTTATCATATACCGTACAGTTTTAAATTAAATTACCCTATTTTTTTCTATATGCTTTCCCAGTTTCCCACCCACCGTGCTAAATATGTCTGCTTTTTTTATGTGTATGTACAATATTATTTATTCCGTGCGCGAAGTGATTTGCTTTCGATTGCGGTATAGTATCGTGCGATTATAATTGTACATCTCGAAAAGATTACACATTAACTTTTATGAAACAGCCGATTTCGAATTTCGTTTCGTACAATGACCCACATAATATTGTATATAATGTATACTGAAAATTAAAATTTTGACCCAAGTACCGGCCGATATAATATATTAACCTATAATTTATATATGTACATAACAATTTCGCGTATATCGGATAGGTAACTGTATACATTAAATCAAATTTAAATGGGAAGCAGGGGCAACCATACATACGCATAAATGTATAAGTCATGTAGTATAATTTCGGTGTCGTGTGACTTCAAACGGTAACGTGTGTGTTATAATAATTATTCAACGTGAACTGTAGTGAGTGGTTTTTTTCGCTTTCCTCTCCATCCCTAGGCGTTATCGTAATGTTTACCATCAGGCGCGTAGATATCCAGAAATGTCAAGAAAGGAGTGTTATGAAAAATTTCAAAATCTTTTTCAGTATCACTATTTATTAATTAAACAATTAAAATGATGTGATACGACATAGCATATTAGCGGTCTGCAGGGACGACTATATGCTATTAGTTGTGTTATTATAGTGAATTGGACCTATTATCAAATTTAAATATAAGGATAACACTATATTCGCACTACATCGGTGATGTGTTTTAGGCGTTTTAATTTTCAAGCGAGCATTTTCTGTAGGCTTTATTAAATTTTGATATTCCACATCATGTCAAATTTCCCACTCATATCTCGCTTGAATATTAAAACATCGAAAAATAGCGTCGACGATACCCAGATAATGTTTTTGTTTTTAAGTTTGATAATAATAATTATTCAATTTAATATTTAAACTGACAGCATGGTATTATCCCAGTAGTGAACACAAATTTGCTATGTCGCGTTAAACGAAGAAATACATAAAATACACCTATCTATAACAATATATTCGTATCTTTCTCGGTGGAAACATGGATATTTTTGTCAATTATATCAGTCGTAATTAAAAATTAACTATAAACCATTTTCATAGTTTGTCACATCAATAATATCAACAATCTTTGACATCACAATTTTTTATAGTACGAATATAGGTAATGAAATTTACATAGTTATACGTAGAAATATTGTATGATAATTGATCTTTTATCGTTTTATCATATATATCTGTAATAATTTAACACGGTCAGAGAGGAGGGATGAGGAGGGGGGGATTGTTACACCTACAACACCCCACCTCCTCGCTACGCCAATGTTTTTCCGCTCGAAACAAACGATGCGATTATGATAATGTTTACGAGGATACAATTGGAAATCTGAGATCAAATCACATTATAATAACACCGTATTACCTGTCGTAGGTAGGTAATCTTAAACGGACATTTGCAGAAGTAGGTATGGCGTGTAGTAGTTGGGTTATAAACAGGATGGAACGAACGACGTATAGTATTGTTATCGTTATACTAGCACGCATTATTCTATATCTAATATCCATGGTGGATTTTTTTTTTTTTTAATTTTTTTTTTGTCGCCAATAAACGTACGTACAGCCGTCGGAAATTAGAAATACCGTAGTCTGTAGCTATTACCGCGGCGGCAGAACGGTTTTATATTTATACATATATATATACACACACAGCGTTTGGAATTTGTCGGAAACCCGATAAAACGCCGGATAATCTGATTTTAAAATCGCCGGAATGAGAACGATTCCCTCGGAAACGTCACGCGCAATATGTGTAGACGCACCCGTTGAAAAAAAAAATAATAATAATAATAAAAACACGAGAGGGACGGACGCGTTTTATCGATACATGAAAAAAACGACGGTTTCGTGGAATGAGGAACACCGTGGCGCAATAACAGCGTCGACCGCAATAATATATAAACGTGTATTATACGAGTGTAATAACCAATAATAATATAACCGCATCGGCAACGGCTGATCCAGATTGATATCGTTACATTTTTTTTTTTAGGAAAAAAGTGCTAATGAGTGTACCACTGTTTTAGAAGTGAAGTTAGGAGCAAGGATCTATGTGGAGTATCTAATTCAATTCATAATATTTCTTGTACCCGACGATAAATCGTTGCTAATGGAAAACGATTCTGAATACGGTATTAATACTCGTATTTTTCTCTTTGTTGCCAAGGTACCCTATAAATCAACAAAAATTATACAAAAAATTACCAGTTTTTCCCGTTCGTTAGGGGGTCTAAAAATAACGATGTCTCCAATGCACACCAACTGGATCAAAAAATGATATAAAACGTCCCTATATAAGGTTTTTGATAAACACGAGATTTTTGGTAGAAAAGTATTTAACAGATACAAACAAAAACACATCAAAGTAAAAGCAATTTATTCCTTCAGCGGTGTGTTGAACTATTTATAATTAATCCCAATCAAAATCCGTGTACAATAATCGTAAATGATGATGTATTTGGTATTAAAATTTCTTTTTTCGCTAAACTCATTGTTAATATAAATGGTAATTTATTTTTCAAGCATTACTATTACCAGTGGCGGCGTGAATTTATTATTTTAATGACGCAATAAAATTGTTCAATGCCCACCCAGTCACCCTCCTTTTTATATAAACACAAAATATAAAAAGTAAAGTATTATATAATTAATAAAAATAAGTATTTTTTATCTACTCGACCATAAACATCAACATTCAACAGCCAACCACCCTTTTTTTCGTGATGCAGCTGTGTCAATTTAACCCCGTTCACGCCGCCACTGATTATTATTAATACATCTGTCTGTCTTGCCGACGCATCTGAATGTTGATGGAGAGCCGTGGCTTTTCAAAAACATTGTCAACGAGTGACGGGCGTAAGAAGGGAGGTTAAGGATTATAACCGCCCTCATTGGTTTAAAAATACAAAAACCTACGAGTGTTTCTTACTTGGTAATTTTTTCTCTTGAAATATACATTGGGGACGATTCTGTGGTTTGTTCGTGAATCGCAATTGTTTCAACCGAAAACCACCGGCGGTCACGATTTTCGGGGAAAATTCGACGAGAATAAAAAAGCACGCGTCACAGTAACGTTTCGTCGTTTCGCTCGGAATCTGAAACGGGGCAGAGCTGGACGAGAGGGAAGGAGATGGAAAATAAGGTGCATATAATATTAAATTTTACGCTGTCGTGTCTGCGACGGCGCGCCGTGTGTTGCGGTCTGCTCTGGAAAACCGGTGCTCGCGACACGCACAATAGAGATAAATTCGCGTACGTCAAAAATTTCGAAAATACAATGCGCGTATTCGATTAAACGCAATTTTTCCCGTTTAGGTACGCGTCTCTCTCTCTCTCTCTACATATATATATATATATATATATTATATCTCCGAGAGGAATACAACAATAATAATAATAATAATAATAATACCTGTGTAAAATAATTTATACGTGCTCGGCGGCGTCTGTTTTGTACAGACTGCGCGGGAAAACGTCTCCGGCGACAGATATAGGGTGATATAATAATACATATTATTATTGTTATTATTTTCGTTGTACGCGCGCGATGCAGGCCTGCAGTGTGGTCTCGAACTCTTTCGGTGATAATAGGAAATAAAAAAAAAATTTCAAAAAAATCCACGAGGAAAATTTAACCGAGAAAAAATAAATCGCACTCGTATAGGTACCGAACAGCCGCTGCAGCAACATATTATACACGAGCGCCGCAATAATTACGACTGTCGTACGTTTTTTGCCCGAAGAAACGACGAGTAAAATGCAATTACATACGTTTACGAGTACACGACCCGAATGTCGCATGTACTTAATTACGACGATTGGACGCAATGTAGCTGATATCAACTTGGCGCCTTTGTTTTACATTTTCATAAGCAAATCACTTTAATCTCTGTTCTCTATCACAATGCCAGTGGTTTTGCCGCCCATCTCTACTACCTATGCCCAACTCCGGGAAATTTAAAATCCTCATCTATCACGACGATTCACGTTTCTCTGGTATTCCTCTAGGTATTATTTCCTGAGTGTTCCACTCCATAGCTATTCTCTAACGGTTTCGTCTTCATACGCATGTCTCTTAAACAACTTATTACTATAATGTTCAATTATATACACAATTATATGAGATGACGCGATAATTTCCGCGTGTTTACACACCGTCTCAACCTATGCGACCTCTAGTACTGAATTTAGTCATGCAAATTACGTGATAAATATTAACGTAAAAAAAATTTGAAAATTCCGAATAGGCCCGGCTGGTGCAAAGTACGTATAACGTAACAAAGTGTATTACGTTACTCGGAATTTTATATCGTGACGTTTATATAGTAATTATTATAATATACAAAGTTTAAAATACAAATAACCGTTACACTTTAATAAAGATGAGAATATGTTTACGAGTATTTTTTCTGTCGTATATTTTTTTCTAAAAATCAAAAAGTTAATTAAATTATTAAAAAAAAAAAAAAACCAACATGCAGGTTTAAGTAGAAATAAGGCTATTGACCTACTGTACGATGTCAAAATTGTATTATAAAAATCAAATTTTAGTTTAATGGTTCACTATGACGTAATTACTAATATTAATGTGTGCAAGGTAGGTGTACAGGACTGTGAACTTTTATTGAATCTGAATGCATCTGTTTTTCACTTTTTAATACCTATTAGATTATTCAACTATGTTTTACTTTATTATTACCGAATGAACGTATGCGTAGAGTAGTATTTAAAGAGAGAACGAGTTTATTTCAAAACCCTATTAGTATAACGTTCTTATAAGCAAATGTGTGTAAGAGAAAAACATTTTGAAAGTCTTGTCTCTAGTTAGTTAATTCTCGGGAACGCCCCTCAATTTTCGGTGAATACAGTCCCCTTCGAAGTTTTTCCCATTTTAACTACAGACTGCAAGCGAACTCGTGTCACATCAAGTCCAAAGGCTAAATACCATACATTTAGATTTACATATCGGCTTTCAAGACTCACATCACGTTACCTACGTCTTATTAAAATACGTACCAATTTCTATCTGATTACGATTATTGCCTAGTTTAGTTTATTTTGTCATTTATCGACCTTTTTTTTATTTTATTAATCATTATATTTATTGCTTATCATACCGTACTGCCATAAGTATAATAGACAAATTCGAAAATCGGACGACGTGCAAAATAGGGCGTTATGGGGCTCCCACAGCTCTATAAAAAAAAATCATATCATATCGCATTCGCCACACAGAATAAATTCCCGTAATTACGCCACTTGTACAAGACAAGATACGATAATAATAATATTATGACGCAGGCGTATGTATATATATATATATAAGGATTTCGTGACTGAGGAGCCGGTGAACCTAATATAGACGAGTCTAATATTATATTATTATACCGGCCGTCTGCAGGAGCGCACTGTGTTTCACATTACCTATCTATCTAGTTTTATTTTTATTATTATTATTATTATTATTTTTTATTTTTTTTTTTTTTTTTAATAATGGAACGTAAATTAAGAACGCCCGAAAATCTGCGCGGAGCCCGGTCGTCGTCACCGGCGCGGTGCCGGTGTGCTGCTATAATAATGCTGTGTTGTAGGCACCGACGACAACGGTTCACACGTACGGAATATAAAAATAACACGCGTTTCGTTTATTATTATCTTTTGATAAATGTACGATGATAATAATTCTCTAACCGACACACGTCCGCACAATGCCTCGAAATAATAGCCGTTCGAAAACGGACACCTGCACGGCTCGCTATAAATGTAGCTACGTACGATGCACCGGGGAGGCGCTTTCTCCGCGATGTGTACAACGACTGAGCAGAAGGTTAAGGCACACGGGCGGCGGTCGTGTTTCTCTGCTTGGACGTACGCACACGACCCGAGTTGGCACTACACGTGTAAGCATTAGTGATAATAATAACGACATCAGCCGCCCACAAAGACACGGCGAGTAACATTACAATATTATTATATTATACGACGGTCGCCCTCGTCCGGTTAATAACGGTAATGCGATATTGTTAGGAGGATCGCGAGGAGTAGTCAAACATCGAGACATCAAAAGAATAATCGCGAAAGTCGCCGCCTGTGCTATAAAGATCGCGGTGTTTTTTTTTTTTTTTAAGCGGCAGCGGTCGCGCGTCTCTTCGGTATAACGACTTGGCTCTCAAATTAATCGATATCAGTTAATCAACTTTTAACGCATAATGCATATTTTCAACAAATATGTTAAAAAAAACAAACGGACGTAATTAGCACGATGGATGGACCACTGTTTTAGGAGAGAAGTTAGGAATGTAGAGGGAAAATTTAATATACACCTGTACGCAAAGATTAATCATTGCTAACGAAGAACGATTCTAAGCGGAGTTCGATTATACATGGTTTAAAAGGTCGTAATATTTACGATTTGTAGAAAATACATTTCGTAAATTTTCCCGTTTTTTCTCAGTCTTTCTCATTTATTAAGAAAACCTCGAGGAAAATCAATCCGTATCACCTCTTCTTAGAACCGGTCAAATTTCCTTATAGAAAAGGTGCTACACTTGAAAATCAAAACAAAATTTCTGGTAACCAACTAATCGGTCACAGAAAAAATAAAAAATAAAAATAAACGTCATTGTAAAACCAATATATTCCTCGCTCCGCTCAGGATCTAAAAGGGCAGTGAAAAATGTATTTATTTGGCGCTGCATCAATTACCAAAAATATAAACATAGTGGTGTTCACAGTAGCACCGAATGTTCTGGTCAATAGTCATATTAAGGCTAACCGCCACCTACCTATTTATGTGTCAGCAGGATAACCGTGGGGTCACTTCATCCGCCCTTCTCCCAATCTCCTCCCTTAACATTTTTTTAGCATTCATCAAAATGTCTGCCTATTGAAAATCGTGTAATTTTATTTATATCATCATTTTTATTGCATGTTCTAGCACACATACATTTATCAACTTTCGTATTACTATAAAATCAAATCCTTAGCTCATGAAAATCGTGATTGTATATTATTTTGTATTAAAAATTCAAATTACGACTAATACAAGTATGTTAACTATATTAATGTTCTAATTCGCTTTACAAAGCTTAAACATATTGTAAAATATTATTAATATTTCCTTCTTTAAATAATATTTATACACCAGAGAGAAATTCTTTCTATTAACCATCTCCACCACCTCTACCACACCAAAAATATGGTATGACCTTAACCACACCTGAACTCCTTGTTCGATGCCACTGGGTGTTTCTTTTTGGAATCATGAGATTCACGAAAAAATAAGTAGGTGGGTCATAACGGAATAAAACACAAATTATTATGGTGTTACGAAATAAAATTGCATGCTACATGATTCCTGATAGTCAAAAATATATTTACACTGTTGGCGCCCCGGGGAATCGTGCTGCAGAGACCGTTCACAACACTCGATTTATTTTGATGATCATAAAAAAAAGCCAAAAAGCCATATGAGCATAATTATATTATAGTAATGAACAAAAATAGAAAAGTTCATCGTGTCTTGTGACGCCCTCTTGAAACGTGGCGCCCGTAGCAATTCCCCCTGTTCCCCTATTACCGGCCCCCCCGCCAAATACCTCTATATGTTTATAGTATAATAAACAAATTTTAACGTATACCTAAGTTTTGAATACGTTTACTGGTTACGCCGTTGTTCACGTACCTAAATATAGTTGAAAAAAGTCATTAAGTGTTTTCGTCTGCGGAAAGTTTGATACGACTCAATATGAACTCCCATGGAAACTAGTTGGAAATTCGTGGTTTATAGTTTACAGACAATATCTGATAAGGAGGAGGTGGGTGTATCTGATAGGCGGGTGTATGCGAAAAATGAGATTGATGATTTCATCGAGGTGAAAATAGTTCGCACCGCCACTGAACGCAGTTCGTGATTCACAACGACAATAGAAGAAACAGATGACGCAGAGCAATATTCAATGAGCCAGACGTAGTAAAAATCCTCAAAAAAGCGGTAGGATAAGCGTAGGACCAAACGTCACGGGAGATCGCAATAATGAAAACCAGACAAAAAGATACCGTGAAGACGACCAAGACAGCGGTGGATTGATCGAGTAGGGAAAGACCTCAACAACTCAGGCTCCCGGGAATAAGAAACGGAGAACAACCGGCCAAGGGCAGAGGGAGGCGTGAAAATGTCGCGTAGCAGAATCGGCGACGGACCTTCAAGGCCCGAAACGACCAAAAAAAAAAAACGCTTTCTGACGCGGAACCCCGTGGGACGACCCGTATGCGTATGCGAGAAACGCCGGCGGTAAAACAACGTCACGCACCCCACAATGATTATAATGTAATTTTCCAGTTTGCGATCGAAAACAAACAATATACCAAAAACTCGTGTCGGTAAATACGGATTATCTCGAATAAACATTATAATAATATACCGGCGTATACATATCTATAGGTAACGGCGGTTCATTTATTTAATTAAAAAAGTTCGGTAAAAACCGCTAAAAACGTGCCGTTACTTATTGCCGCCGGGTGCTGTGATATATATAATGTGTTGTATATAATTTAATATTTCGCGTGTATGACGTTTTTGGTTTTTATTTTTGTTTTTGTCGCATAGTCAACACACGCGCGCGCTAAAAAAAAATAAAAATTAAAAATAACATACATAAAACAAAAATTTACATTTCCATAACAATAATAATGTCGTCGCCGTGCGGGAATTCGGAATAATATGAATAAAAGTATTTTTAGCATTATTATTATTATTTTCGCGCGCATGTGAATAATGGGCTTAAAAAAAAAAAACGAATCGATCCCCGCGAAAATATATATATATTGTTATTTCGTAACACGTTTTTTCATACTTTTTGTTTTTGTTTTTTTTTTTTAAAGTTTCGGGTTCATTTAATTAAAAAACGTGTGTGTTTTTTTTTGGTACCTATAGAGCTTTTGAACAATATAATTCCGTTTAATCGTGTTCGGAAATATTGGTAAAATTATAATATACTACGGTTAAACATGATTTAAGTAAATGTAAAAAAATAAGTCTAAATAATATTCGCCCCGATTTATTAAAACGAGAATACTATATCTGCAGTCAGTAATATAAAACTTATGACGTTGTGTACTTTTTTATATCACCTAAAAGTCACAGATTTTTTTTAGAGCTCTTTTAAGTTCAAAGATCGTCATTACTCGCCAATATATTTGAAAATATTACTGAAATAAAAACATGTTTGTTGTACGATTTTCTTCAAAACATGTACATAGTGTTGTTTTGTTTAAAATAATGTTTTAATGTAAATTATGTATTATTTATTTGGTTTTACATTGAATTCAATTCGATTTGTTAGCGATAATTTTTCTGTCTGCTTATGACTAGTCTATCGAAAATCTTATTCAGATTTTCTTCTCGTCTTTTCTGAAGACAGAATCTAATTGCCTTGTCTAGTTGATGAGTTGGGGTTTCGATTTTCGTTGTGGTCTTATTGATATTTAGTAAAAACGAAAAAAATGTACGCGTTTTCACTGCTTTCGATTTTGTTTTGTTTCGTTTTTTTTTTTTTTGTAATTCAGTGAAAAAAACCAATAGTAGAGACATGAAATTTCCACAAAAGATGTATATTAGCCTTTTTTTGGCGCGATAAGATTTTCAAAAATTTCGGCCATTCTTGAACTATTTTTAGGCATTTAATATTTTATAGTTTTTAATTTTTTCTTCTTAACCCTTTTTTAAGGTTTTATGTGGATAAAATTGTTTAGCCCGAAAAAAAATGCTTGACAATTAAACACTAGAATTATAATAAGTCGACCGTGATATAGTAGTTTTTTTTTTCATACCTATAAGTTCAAATTTCGACTAAAATTGTGAAAATCACGGCGGTGCTTCAAAACATGTTCAAACCGAACTTCGCTCAAAATCGAGTTTCGTTAGCAATGATTTATCGTTGCGTACAGTTATAAATGAAATTGGATCCTACCATCCCAACGTCTCACCTACAGCAGTGGCATATCGCGTTCAGCAATATCACCTCCCTATTTCGCCCCCCCCCCGTTTTGAAATCAACGTAAAACAATAATACCATACCTGAACGCGAAATGAAATTGTGTCTGGCCCTTTTGGTGACGTACGGAGAGTTTCCTGACATCATTATGGCACTGTCTGAGTCCGAATGATAACCGGATATATCGCTGGAATCTTCGTCCTCGGCCACTTCCTTCATCAATTCCAAAACCTTAAAGAAAATTAAAAAAAAAAAAAAAAAATCGTTATTTATTATTGTTTTTATATTTCGTGACCGCCCGAACAATAATTATGTTATTCGTATAATTGGCTGTGTTTTTTTTTCTTTTAGAAAGTCCGCGCATTCTCGTTTCGGGGTTCGCAAAACCGAACCGAACGAAAACTTATCAAGATAAACCGCCGGCGCTGCAGTGCGGGGGGAATGCGAATCGTCAGCTAGCCGCGGAAGATTGATATTCGCATTTCGATTTATTTGTTTTGTGAACCGTATCGATATTATAATATTATTATTTATACTTTCACTCGTCACCGTCGCCGGCGTATACCGGGGTACGTTCGATGATAATAATAGCGTACAATAATTGTATGCGGGAGAGCATGTCTACCGGTATAATAACGTGTCCGGTGTCGACAACATTTGAAACGCGGTCCAATTATAACGACCGCAAAGGTCGGCGAAGGTGCGCCGCGGTGAAAACCAACCCTCAAACCGGCGGCGGCAGTAGGTATAGTAATGTAGGCCGTTCGCCGTCGTGCGCATAATAATAACGGTAATGATAACAATAATGATAGCACGGAGTTTAACCTAAACAGGACGCGACACACCATACAAAAGAAAAACGTTTTTAAAAAAATAATCCGGACTCGCTACATAAAATATTATAATACGCGGTGACGGGCGAGACGGGAGCGAGGGGAGGGGTGAGACAAATCCGGGATTGTTAGCTGTCGTGTGGAATTCGCAGCGGCATTTCGAATTTCACATAGCCTGCAGTCCGTAATAACGAATGTTGAAAATTATTTATAGCGTCCCGAGGAACGTATAGATTTAAAAAATCTGCGTTTTTACGCGTCCATATTATAATGTCTGTCGTTAACACTTTCTCGTTTTTATGAAAAATCCTCCGAACATTTTTTCACACCGTACTCCGTACACATATTATATAAATTTGTACCACGCATAAAATATGTAAATTCGTGTTTCTAAATTATCGACGGACCAATCGAGTTTATCGATTATCCGCGTTTGGTCCAAAAAGAGCTGGTCCGAAGATTTTTCGGGAGATTTTATAGAAGTTTCCCTAAATTTCTTTTAGATACAAACTAGATAATTTTACAAGACGTATACATCTAAAACTCGGGACCAAATCGACGAAAAACAGCAACGGGTTGCGTACTTATATTTATTATTTTTAAATACCTACGGCCCAACCCGGATTATTGAATTTCAATTATTTCCCTATAATTTTGTTCCCCTTGGTTTCCGAGCTGATTGATTACATTGTATTTTCAGAGGCCGAAAAGTATGTCTACAAAAAATCCCGTTTTAACATCCACCGCCGGAATGAGGGGGGGGGGGTAGTGGGAATTATTATTTGTGCTCTCTCTCTGCTCTCTGTCGTCGTCTCGTTTCGTTTAACACAATATTTTCGTCTAGACGATTATAATCTGTAGGCACGTATATTATTATGCGATAACGCTCGAATTTCTGCGGGGGTGCGCGTAGGGCGGAAGAAAAATGGCATTTAACATGGAAAGAAAAAACAAAATATTTCTACCTATTCTTACATACTAAATGGCATTTTTACGCGTTCGCGTTCGGGTCGCCGCGAGCACGTATATAATAAATTGCCGTACAAATCTAGACCTATTAAACGCGAGAACGACTACGACGACGGACATCCGGCGTGCCTACGATTTTCGATTTTCGAAATTTCAATGGCTATTATCGTCGATCGTCGTTTAACTCGTACGCTATACGTACGAGTATTATAATGTCCGTAAAACAAGGAGATAATAATAATAATAATATTATTATTACAATACGAGCACCGGGGCCGTACGAACGAAAAAAAAAAAATGAAAAAATACCGGTTAGAAAGGCTATAATCGTTTTATTTATGATGCAAAACAAACGCATCGTTAACCAGTTCGAGATCGTATAACACTGAACACATCGCAGCCGATGCAGTTGTTCGTATAATAATATATACGGTATACTGTATAATAATATATAATGCAGTGTGTCAGTGGACTAATATATTCTATGTCCCCGAGGTGTTGTTGGTATATAAACTTTTGTGAATTCCAGACGCTTATAAAACGTCATTATAACTTACTGGCGTTGTAATAATAGACCGGAATTTATAATATATACGACTATCGTAAAAGTGAGCGATGCAGACTTGATGCGCGAGCGATGCACACTGATTTAAAGTAAGAGTATCGTGTAACATTTTAGAAACGGTTAATCGCAATACGGGTTTTTAAGTGGTATGGATATTGTTTGGGTTGACGTGACGTCGTCGTAAATAAAACGGCGGTGGATTCCTCCCTCTTCCAAACGCACTTCACAACTTCAATAATCTCGGCGGGCTCGGTATGATTAAGGTACGGGTGATGAACTTGGCCGTCAATAAATTACGTTAATACATCCCCTCGACCCCTCTTGTCTCCCCCTCCCCGAAAAAACAAGTCGTAAGTACGCCACTGTACTGGCGGTCAGCGAATGAGTCGCCGTTGACATTGTATACAATTTTCTTATTAAAATAATTTAGTTTAACGAATGTTTTATGCTATTTTTTTTTTGTTAACCAAGCCCCGAACCCTGCTGACAATTGAAGCCTAAAATCGTACAAACAATTTTTATTGATGACAACACCTCGTTTTCTATTTCTGATACCGTATACGGTATATTCGATTAACTACTTGTATACAATATGACTCGCGAGCCGCTACTACAGGTCGTGTATACAAAAATACAAAATGTAATACGATTTTTAATATGAAAATAATGAGAAATACGAGTGAAACGCAATTCCGTCAGATTTGTCAATTATGTCTACGCCTTTGAAGACAAGCAAAGTATAATATAGAATGTAATAAAGGGACCTACGTCGAAATTGAGTTTTGAATTTTAAACTTTTCGAAGGCTTTCATATACTATTATATTACAATTAGGCGTTTTCGTTTTATTTTACTTTATACATTTTTATAATATTTATAGTGTGTACGTTTATATGTATTTGTCTCGACAAACCGACCGGAAGAAAAAATTCCACACGTTTTCAATTTTATTCCGTTTGTGCGATAAAAACATATAATAGTAATTACTACTGCGGTAGTTGTTCCTTTTTGTTGCTTCGGAAATCGTAATTATACGGGACGGTTAAAAAAGTATAAAGAGTTATTATTATTATAGTTAGATAATATGGACTTAATGAAAAAAAATGAACGAACAGATAGTCGGCAACGAAAACTACAAATTCATAATGCGATCTTATTCTTAATTCACGAGTTTATTATTACTTTTTTCGTCTTTCCGTGAGAAACGCTAAAATCACTTAGCTGCATAATAGTTTAGATTCGCGCGTATTTATAATTTATAAAATAATTTACGAACGACTATATAAGTTTATCGAAATTGAAAATAATTATATTCAAAAACCCTCGTTTTTATACATCGGAAAGAACATTACAATAATATTTTATACATTTCACGTTTTTAGATCACGAGAGGCGTTTTCTTCTTGTTACAACATTATTCGGATCCGGCCGAGAAGACTGACAAAAAAATATATTATTGATTATGAAAAGTTTGACCGTTCTATACAACCGAAATATTACGCGCGTTATTACGACGTATCGGTAATTGTAGTGTATTTCTTTACCACTCTAACCAAATTACCCGCTATTTCCCGGACTCGTATCGCGGTAATTTGTAATTATTTCTTTTTGAAAAAAAAAAAAAACGTGTACCTATGTCCCTTGTCCACGATAGCCAAATTAAATAATAATCAAGCCCGGATCAAGAGGGGTCCAGGGAGGGCCGTGGCCCCCGGTCCACCAGAATCCCAGGGCCTCAGATTTTGCCTTTAGATATGCATTCAAGATTTAATCATTAACTTTGTACTTTGATATTTTTTCTTTATCTGACGATGACTTTATTTTGTGTTATGATTCGTACTATTGTATTATATAGCAGAAACTACTAGTAACTCTGTGAAAAATTATATATTTATTTATTTAAATAATACTAGTGACTTTTGAATTGATATCTATATGATGTCTATACTACTTATTATTTATTAGTAAACATTTTACAATAAATGATTAGTTCAACGAGAGCCTGGTTGAAAAAATTAGCCCCGGGACCTCTTAGTGTCTTAATCTGAGCTCGATAATAATAACTGTTTTTTGTCATTTTTGTTTTCATCCGTGTCGCAAGGGTAGTCTACGAAACACCAAAACATTAGTGTCGGCCACTAGGCTTTGGAAGTTAAATTTCAAGGGTAAATAGGTAATAGGGTAATAGTAGACACGACGACCTCCCTGTTGTTTTGAATGTTAATAGTGTGCAAAGTTTCGTGAAGATCGGAATAAAATCGTCATAAATTCGTATGAAATATCAACATAAATCGAACGTGATCAACGTCTTTTCTGAATGCGAATTTTGTCCGGTTAGAGCTTTGTGGACGTAATTTTCTTTGTAGTTTTCAGCATAACCGAGAAAAAAAACGTAGGGAAAACGGGAAAATGTACGGTTAAATTTTTTTTTTTTCAACGATTCGGTTAAAAATAAACGTAGAGACTTGCAATTTTCACAGAACGCCTAATTACATTACATTAACGCGCGTTTCTTACAGCCGTGGTAAAATGTCCAAAAGATTCTCGCTACTTTTTTACCGGTTTTTAGACGTTTAGAATCTTCCCGGTTACATTTTTGATTTTTGATTTTATTCGTATGCAAATTGTTTCGGCCGAGCAGAATAATCGTTATTAAAATGTTATTATTGTTTTTGTCATTATTTACCGACGTATTCCGCAGTTCGACGTTCGCGACATAAAATACGTATACGCGTATTAATGCGCATTGGTAATGACTAAATAACAATAAATAATACGCTGCGCGAATGTGTCCGGTTATTTTATAATTGTTATTTTTTGTTATTTTTTTTTTTTTTTAAATCGGCAATTATAATCGAAATATAATAATACCGTACACCAATATAATCGAACGGTGTATTTTTCAACGCGCGCGTATTGTCTGGTATTGACGTAACGCGAATCCGCGGTCCGGAAAGTTCATTAAACCACATGACTGTTATATTATTTATTTTTTTATCATTATTTATTAATGTGTTTATTTATTGTATCGTAAAAATAATGCATTGTACATCTATATATATATATATATATATATATATATATATATATTATACACGCTCTATTGGAAACGGGTTCGACAGACATGCTGCTACAATATCGCGCGTATAATAATATATACCTCGCTATAATACCTATATCTAACGATCTCATATTCAAACGTCCGAAATCGTATTTTTCGGTCTGAACTCGCGCCCGTATCGGTTTCGTACGCGTTATACGGATCGAAATACAATAATATTATACATCACTGTGTATGTGTGTGTGTGTGTGTGTGTGTGTGTATACGATCGAAAATACGATCCGATCTGCAGTCCGACAACGAAAGATGAACGGCGTCCATTGCAATAATAGTATATATTTTATAGTGCGTGTGTGTGTGTGTGTGTGTGCGTGTACAATATGACTACGAGAATTCGTAACAATACTTTATTACGTAATACAGAGTGATTACAATGTGATATTCGTCTGAAACGAGAGAATAACAACGATGAAACACGGATAATATACGAGATTAGAACAAACAATACGAAATGTATGGCCGTTTTTTTTTTTTTTTTTTTATAAAGAAAAAGAAACAATTAATATAATTCCTATGTTCGGGGATGAGAGATTGAGCTGCAGATTAAGCCTCTGCGTGTAATGAGATTGCAACTCAATAGCGAAAAATACGCTTTAAATGGGAAACGCCGAAAAAAGAGGCACCTAGGGAGACCTAGAAACAACGGTAACTGGACATATAAACTGAGAAGGATTTGAAAAGCTTGGGCGTAAGAAACTATTCAAGAAGTTGGTAAGGGACAAAATCGAAAGAAGTGTACGGTCATTAAATGGTCTATAACGCTGAAAGGAAAAAGAGAAGATTTCATGAATTTCAATTTATTTTCATCACGAATCGGCGATTATCTATAAGTAGGCGAACGTATTATCAACGCACACGAAGATTTCGAATAATTGTTTATCCAGTTGATGCGTTTAAGAGGTAATTTTTTTTTGTTTTTCCTCGTAATTTTCTTAATAAATGAGAAAAACTGGCAATTACGTGCGTACATTTTGTTGATTTCTTGACAACATGGGAAATAATACTCTCCTGAGAATCGTTTTTCGTTGCTTACTGACATAAATTAATTTATGTATCCTCCCTTCCGACTTCGTAACTAAAACAAAAGCACACCCATCCGCAGTATGAGCCTTTTTTTTTTTTTGGTAAATTTAACAACATAACACGTTAATTATTGTATTGTTTCCATTCAATTGCCAACTTTCGGTTTGAAACGTAGAACCGAGACGATTTCGGGACAGCGCGTGGGATACACAATAAAACCCGTCCCACTCGCTGTGTTGCGCAATCGGTCTTTGCTAAAATGCTAATCTAGTTTTACCGCCTTCAAAACGTCCGCATTATTCGAGACAATTATATTATCTAATGATAATAATAACATCAGACGAAACGTTATTGTTCGTTTGCGTGCAAGTCTCGAGCCAAACGTAGTCTAATGTGGGCTATCCAAACAACGAAATTTCGAACGGAGGCCGACATAATGAGGTTGCCTGTGTGACTGTTCACGGAGACTCGCATACGGAATTTTAAATGTCCACTATCGAGTCCGATTCACGCTTGTACGGCACGGCACGATAGGATTCGACAAAAAGGTCGTCCGGCTTACATATTATGACCGCGACCGACAACGGCAAGTCTGACTCTACACGCACTTTTCTACACTGTTTTAAACCGAAATTGATTCGAATACAGTTTTCGTTTCAATCAGTCGGTTTTTCGTGTTTCAAAACTATTTTCGGCACGGGAAGTGGGGCGATTTATCGAGTCGATAGTTTTACGAAGTTATTTTTTTTCATCGCCTAAAAATAATGAGTACACATATTAAATTTCATAGTCAAGTTTTTCACGGATCAACCTAATGAATGCAAATGTTCAACGAATTTTGATTTCTAATTGTTCACCGGTTTTCCTCGGTTATAACGCGGACGCGAGAAAAACAAATCGACCGATTTAATATTATACGCGTCTCTTTCGATTTCTTGAATATTATTGAATATGGCGGGCCGTCAAACGAAATATAATCTCCAAACGCGATAGAAATAATATTACAGTTGATCTATAAACTTCGCGGAACAGAATCCTATTCAACTCGTTTATCCGGTACCATACAAACGATGCCATAAAACCGTACCGTGTCGGATAATGTCAACAATGTCTAAATACTGTCTAATAGTTACACATTTATAATGTATACTCAATTTATGCATAGGCGTCATTTGAAGTAAAATCACGGTTAAGCGACTAGCAAGCATCTTATAGAAATTGAATAACAATTAATTTATGATTTTATGAAGCGTACTTCACTTCATATAAATCGGTGGATGAGAATCAGAAGGAAATCGGCTTTTTTTTTTTTTAACCGTAGGGTAGCGTAGTTATATTAATAATTTGCAGTCGCTACACCTCGCTGCCCTGTAATAACGGCTATACTCTTACGCTCGTCTCGTCCACTCACCGCCCCTTATCGTCACGTAATTTAATATAGCGACCCTTTTCACTGGTCTGCCTCGTAACCCGGGTTTCTTCTACACACCGTGCGTACACCCGAGTAACCGCCTAACGCCCGACTCGTTACGACCACTCGACATTTCTGTCTGTTTTATCCGTCTTGTTAGACGATTTCCACTTGGGCTCCTACTAATCTATAAATATCTACCGCGTTATAATAACGCATGCAGCGGTTCAAAATGGAAACAATTTTACGGTGCCCTTGGGTTTATAATGCTCGTTTCTCGCGTGTTCGTGTATAACACGATATTATCATGAATAATGCGCTCGGTTTTACAGTTACTGTTTACAAAAATTATATTATCACGGATGTCAGTTCGTTCACACAGCGCGTTAGCGTTTAAAACGCGAACATAATGGAAAAAAATATGAATATGTGAGAAAAACGGATGTGTGTGTGTGTGTGTGTGTGTGTGTGTGCGACCAGTTCCCCAGATAATGGTAGCAGCGCTACGCGGACAGTGTGCGACTTGTCCACCGACGGTCATTGATCTCGTCACGTACGACATTTCTGCGAATCTTACACATAGGTATACGCTCGGCGCATGACCCCCGGGCCGTCACGGCGCCCGGGCGTCATCGCGCGGCCGAAGGATCCGCGGACCGGGAATCGTCTACTTTTCCGGCGACTTTATTTCGGTAACGTTGGATAAAAAAATTTTAAAACCCGTCCGTTTTCGCCTCCAAATGCGCGGCGGAAAATTCTTACCTGTTCGCACGCGTGCGAATACCGCATGAGCAAAGGCGCCACCACGTGTTCCGATTCCACTTTCAGTTCCTTCCGGAGCTGTGTAAACTGGAAAAGCGCGTCCTTGTCGTACTCGACACGCCGCTTCAGGATGGTCAACAGTATAGCCATCGACTTGTTCTCCAGCACGGGCTCCACGACGTTCAGCAGCGTCTTGTTCTTGATCAACCGTTCTTGGATATCGGTCTGCTGTAGCGACAGCTGCCGCTGGTGGGACGCCTGTACCGGGGCCGGACCTTTGCTCACGCCGTCCCGTTTGCCGGACAAGCTGAGCTCCTCCAGCTTGAGCAGGGCCGCCTTGTACGTGTCCACGAGCTTTTGGAATTCCACCTTGAGCGCGTCGTGCAAGTTAGTGAGCGTCTCGTCGCTTGTGCCCACCAGTCCGTGCTGGCCGAGACCCTCGACCGCCTTGTCCAGCGATCGACGGCGCACTTGCAACGCCTTCCGCAACTTAGGTTCAGACAACACGATCACCTTTAACAGTTTTCGTGTGCTGCCCAGCCATCGGTCGGTGCCGCCCGTGGTGCCGGTGAATAGTTTTACCAGCTGCATGAGTACGTGGTCGGGCCTGAGCACCTTGACGCCGCAGTCCGAAGACAAGAACACTTTGGCGTACAGCGCCTCCAGTATGGATAGGCTGTGCGGCATGGCGTCGACGAACAGGTCTATGGGCAGCTGGTCGAGGATCGCCTTGAATGTGTTATGACTGAGCCGGTTGACAAAATTTGCGGCCTCCCGGTACTGGGCATTCTCGTACAGCAGCAGTATGCGCTTGACGGCGAACCTGGGACTCACGTCCGCGATGGTCATCGAGCTGACCAGCTCCGGAAATCCGTCCACCCAGTTGGAGTTACGCCACTGCATTTTCTGCACGTTGACGGCGTGCCGGTTCCGGTCCGGCTTGATCCGGTTGCCCTGCAGCGCCTTTACCGGTTCCGAGCTGTACGAGTTCCAAGTGGCCGAAGGGTCGGCCAAAGGCGGCGGTGGCAGAGTCAACATGGTTCCTCCTGCACCGGTCTTCGGGTACGCCTCGTAGTATCTGTTCATTTTGCGCACATAACCGCGCGAGAGATTTGCTGCGTGTTATCTATACCCGCGTGTGTTATTGTATGTTACGATGAAACGGTGCCGACTGCCAACAACTACGACTGGTGTAAACAAAATATAATGATACGCGAACGGTGGATGGGGAAGGGTGAAGAAAACCGAACAAACGAAATAAATAAAATGTAATAATATACGTGTAAACAAAACGACGTCGTGTTTTCGTGAAAAAAAAAATAAAAATAAAATCGAAATCAATCTAGACGATTTTACAATGTTTGTATACCTATCGGACGCACACGCGAGTACGCACTGACGACATGCACGAGTGGACACGCTGGCGAAACTGGTCAGGTGAGAGACTATCCGGAGACTGGGTGTTTGAAGAGCCGCGGCTCGAATACGCGCGCGGAGCCGGTTAATGACTCTCCACTCCTCGTGGGAGAAAACCGACGACGACGGCGTTTACTTGATGATACGTACGCGCGGTTAAGAGCCGACGCGCGACGTGTCTTATCGTCGGCATCCCGTGTATTGTTATGTCCCCCGGTGGCGTGCGTACGGAGTGGGGAAATTTTATAGGGGCTATGTTCCCTCAGCCCTCCCCTCCCCACCACTCCCTATCGGCTAAAAAATAAAAAAACCATACGAGAATTTCGCGTTTTCGTACAATTTTATCTGTCGGTGTATCGTTTTTTATTGGTTCCGGGGAAGAAACGCTCGAGTCAATTTTTTTTAGATTCTGAGCGGAACGAGTAATGTATTGCTTTTACAATGTTTATTGTTTTCCCTGGAAAACTTTTCTACCAACAATTTTGCTCCGATTTTCGGGTGTAGCAAGTTTTCTGAAAGGAAACCTGACTGCGGTGGTCATTTTTTGATTTTCCCAGGGGTTTTCATAATATAAATGGGAAAACCCAGAAAAAACTTAGAAAAAACGAGAAAATGTACGAAATGTATTATTTTCAAATCATAAATATTAAGGCCTTTTAAAACATGTGTAACCGAACTCAGCTCAGAATCGTTTTTTGTTAGCAAAGATTAATCATTGCGTACAGATATGCATTTAATTCTCCTCTATATCCTACCCTCCTAACTTCTCACCTACAACAGTGGCCTACATCTTTTTTTTAGAATTTAGTTTCTTATACTATTCGTAATTTGTTTTCCAACGGTTTTCGGTCTAAACGCGTTTGTATATTCTATACACGTCTCACAAGTCACAAGTCAAATAATAATATTACATGACTCAAGTTGTTTATAACGCACACATTTTTAGGTTAGACCGTTTAGTAGTGATTTAACCATTCGGCATTTACATCAGCTCAATCCATTTTTCTCTAGAACGGAAAACATCTTTCAGCCATGTGATACAGGGTGGGAGGGAAAATTGATTTATTAAATAAATATTTTAGCTTTTTTCGGATCCGGCTTTTAAATTATCATTTTTATGTTGAGTTTATGCAGATACAAAAGAAGATCTACGATTTGTCTATGATTCATATAATTATTATTTACTACATACCCACACATTGAAAACTGCTGGGCAGGCCACCGCTAAAAACCCGTAGACTGGTGTATTTACAGTGCTCGTATTGTGATGATGGGGTGCAAGGGGACGGAGCTCTTCAAATTTGTTTTTCATTTTACAACGGTCCAAGATACAAACACAATATTAAGATGCGTTTACCCAACTGCCATAAAGTTTTTGGCCAAAGAGATATCTTATATCAAAGGTTAAAATTATTTCCATCATTAAATATTAATTTAAATAATTTTTGTGGTTTTAAGCCTTTCAAAAGTCATATTGAGCGTCTTAATTTATTTATTATTTAATTTCTGTTTGTAACTTAATATTTGTACATATGCAAAATAATAATTTTTCCTTTTATCTTCTAAATAATATTACTGTTTATAATTCACCGATTAAGAACTGCTCTCTCAGCCACAAGCTTTGCTTATAGGGGGTGCTGCAATATTTATTCATAAGTTATTAAAATGTAAATTGAAAATATGCTATTATTGCAATATATTATTATTATTTTGCTAGCGTTTTCTTAACATAAATGTTTCTATTATGGCGGAAGGACAGTACACATCTCTTTTCGCAGTAAATAATCATTTTTTCAGAAACACGTACCGATGATGTACCTATTTATTATCGATTCGGATAATTTCGTAATTTCCTTTTTTTATTTACCAATCGGGAATTAATCATTATTCCCAAAATTAATTTGCTATCTTTTGGCATACATTCAGAGTGGGTCGAATAAAGTGGGCTGACTACCCGAACTACTGGCACACCTAAATTTAAATTAATTATACACAATTCGGTAATGATTTCATTGAATATACGCAGTTTTAGTCAATAGCGACAATGTTTGGGCAATCGTATCAATTATTCGCTTTAATTAAATTATACCGTCCTATACTATGATTGTCCACTTTGGTTAAATATTCTCGAAAAACACTGGCTAATAATAAGAAAATGCCTATGAAAAACATTTAAACTAAATACGGACTAGTTATATTCAATAATGCCTAAATATCTATACGGTAACGTATTATAATAATAATCGGGGCACGTGTCCCCAGCATCATCCTCACCGTTCGGTTGTGTTGTAATAGTTCATGGTTATGGGCCCGGTCATTTTACACCGGATTCCGAAAAATAATTATAAATTTTATTGTCACTGCCGGTGTCTTAACACCGCGAAAATCAATACCATAATTATAAATTATGGATACAAATACACGTACCTATCCATCACAATTAGACGAAATATTAATCTGCGAAATGTGAACGCCATCACCTGATGTTTTATTTAGACAATCGTCTAAAGTAATTTCAAATAAGATTACAGTGACTGTACCTATCATCGTGATACATAAAACTTATCCCAATAAGTGTTCCAAAAAAAATGATATACATAATATGTATTTCTAACAAAACGTACTGATGGAAAACATTTTTGGCAGAAAATATAGGACGGTAAGTACATTATTTTAAGGGGAGGGGGATAAGTTTATTAAAAATAGTTTGTGTAAAATTACCGTGCCCGCGGAGGAGTTACCGCGATTAATTTTTTTGGCCCAGGAAAGATCTGCTGAAGTCGATTTTGGACATTTAGGTTGTTTTTTGTAATTTTGCCTTTATTTTTCGGTCCAAACTGCATAAGTGTATGTATTTTCGAAATTAGTGTAGTGTTTTAGCGTATTAATTTATGCAAGTGAACGTATATGTATATTTTCAACATTTAATTTGCTAGTGCCGAAAACTATTCAAAACCAACTTAAACCTTTTCCCCCGGGACCATAGAATTATATTGTTGGGAAGTATTTGCTCTGTCTGCAAAGTTATTATATACTTTTTCAATCTCACCCTACCCGGTCCCATTGGCTTACGGTCCGAACTGACCGTTCTCCCGGGAACCACTATAATATATAATATATATGTATAGCACACATTCTCTACTCTGCGATACAGCTCCGGTGTTGGGGGCGAAACTACCCGAGGGACAAGGGAAGAGGGGCACACTGTAACACCGATAAACGTTTTTATTTTCTCTGCAGTCGGCCTTTCGAGAAAAATCGTTAAAGCACTAAATATAATGTGCGTATAAACATTACGCACATCCAAGCGTTAAAAGTGCGCCAAAAGGTTTTGAAGATATTATTTAGTTTTTATTTGACTTTTCGGTCGAACTTCCCTTTCACCTCCACTCCCCCCCCCTCGCCTTCCGAAAATATTAGAGACTATTGCGCTGTGTATTGTGTCGGTTATATTTATCTTTTTCCCGCTACTTTTGGACACTTTCAACAGCTCCCTCCGGACCAAATGTTGTCAATAGTTGTTTTATGGACGGATTGAAGTCTGGTTGAATTGCAATATGATATGAATTTCACTGTTTATTGTTTAAGTGTTTATGTGTTTTTTTAATTTTAACACACGTAGGTATAGACCCCCGAATTAAGCCAGAGAAGGGATGCGATTTTGTATATATACATGGTTGGTATCAAGAAAATGTCTTTTGATGACTTTTTTATTTCAACCCCTATACTTACCATTTTTTATTTTAACTATTATATAATTATAGTATGGTATGGAATTTTATTATTTCAATATTTATTATTATTGTTCTCCAACGAATATTTATTTAATACAAAATAGTCGGGGGGGGGGTGGAAATTTGACTCTAGTGACGAAGTTCTGTTGTTTTTTTGATTTTGAAAGGGCCATAGAATGTATTTACTTTACAAACCTGTTTTGTATTATTATTTCTTTTTTTTTTGTGAACTCTGCGAACCACTTTTTTAATAAAAATTCTCTAAAAATGTGACCATGGCACGTCAAAACCACGAAAATATATAGTTGGAAAGTCCCATTACGGTTTTTTTTGCGAGTCTGTCCAAATATCGTCAATTACTTTAACACCCCCAATAAAAAAAAACCTATCCCGTAAGGTTTTTTTTTTTTTTTACAGACACCGCAAAGATAAAGCGACGGGCATTATAGTTTCGACGGATAAAACCGTCAAAACGACGAACACAATGTGCCGTTACGACGAGTATGCGAGGATTTGAGTGTGTAACCGGGGACCAATGACACTGGCGAAATGGTGGTCAGGGAAGGGTGGGCAGATCGTTACAACACCTGAGACGTTCCCCTGAATAATGTCCCTCTGGAACGACGCAGCACGTACACGAATAATAGCGGGCAAAGTTGTAAAAACGAAAAAATTGCTTCACCGCACGACGCATATATCATCATGCAACTATTTAAAGACGAATTTTTAAATTTTTTTTTTTTTTTTAATACCGACGATCCTACTACGCATCTCAATGACTGATGCAGTGGTCCCGTGTTTTAAATACGCACGGATCGTATTGTTCAACCCAATATGAGTTTTTTTTTCTATCTATCAATAACGTTATAATAGGGCGTGTGGCATTCAAACAGACTCATATAACAATATTTAATTAAAAGTTCGAAAACATTATTTCATACGGTTTCAATACGGTCGCGTTCAATCAGAATTATTTCGAATGCAAACACAGATATTGTAATATGAATGAGGTTAGATTACTACTCGTCGGTAAATGAATTAATAATAATTAATTACCCAGATATATCTATAGTTATTTGATTTCAATGACGGCTTTAGAGCAGGTTGAATTATGAATTCAATTAATTAATAGCTATAAATAAAAAAAAAATTATCTTTTTTTTTTTTTTTTTAACCTGGGTAGGTTACACCTGAGCACACGTTAAATGACATGACACGATGTTCAAATTCAATACATCTCCCTCCGAGGGAAAATCCTAAATACGTCACTGCATAAATAACGAGATTAAATCAGGTCAGATTTGGTTAGGTTTTTAAGTTCTTGTCGC